TGAAAGATTTATAGTACGGCATAGACTGTTGAGAGGAGTCGTTTGTTTGCCTTTCAAGGACCTAGTGATGCAAATTGCACGACTATGAGAAATAGAGTCAGACATAGATGATATGTGAAAACCATGTGTTTTCTATGTCTTCTCCCATTCCCACTCGTCTCCCAGACGCACCTCATGATGCAGGATATGCATTTCCGTTCCCAAACGAACTTCCCCGTTGGATAAAGGCACTGGTCACCGTTTAGCGCTTCAGCACCTTTGGTGCGGGCGGATTTCTATTGGGGACAGAAGCAAGCTTTTCGGCCATAGAAACTTGAAATGTGACTTCTGAACTTCAGCTGCAACTGATGCAGCCTGGCGCCACATCTACTTTTTGACGAAGGTAATGGTTGGGTCATAAAACCATTTTCCCAGCGTTCATGGCACCTCATGTCATCCTCCGACCGCGACCTAGTTCCGAACATAGCAACTGACTGGAAGGTTTTGACGATGATGTTTCTTTACTGTTGACCGCAGGTGACGGGAACCAACAGAGGAGTGACACGTTCGTGACGTGTTTGTCGTCAGAGCGGCGTGGAGGCTATTCATTGAGAGAGTTTTGGTTGGCCAAAAATCCCGTTGCGACCACCACCGTTTGCTCAACGATTGGAATGATTCGAACCAAGTTGGGTTGAACCGGGTCCTTGTGTTCTGAACTTCCAAAGAGAGCTGTTCCTAAGCACGTTTTTTTTCTTTCACGCGTGTCTTGGTAGGTGGCGCTACTTGCACCACATTTTGGAGGCCCTAGTCTATAGTCATGCAAATCTCCTCAAAACACAGACCTGGAAAACACATCACTTCATCTCCTCCTCCCCCAACAAAAACTCCTTGGATGCCCCCAACCGCCGCTGGCAGCGGCTCGTGCGCGGATCGCAGGCGCTGGCAGCGGCTCGTGCGCGGCGGTCCAGGCACCGAGGGGACGACCCCGTCGGTGGGGTCGGTGGAGTTGCGCGGTGGATGAGCTCGGGGTCTTAGAGCCTTGGAGGGACCAGGTCGGACTGACCCTTGAGATGAACCTTGGAAGGTCGGAAGATGGAGTGAAGTGAAGTGGAAGAACTGACGAAGTGAGAACCGCCAGGTCGGACGGTCCGCTGTTTGGCTCAATTGAATTCAATTGACACAAAATAGGGAAGCTAGCAAAAGGTGACTAACACTAGGGCAGGGCTACTCTCGAATAGGTTCCAGATCGAACACTTACGTGCGTAAAGAGGCGTTTGATGGATGGAGCCAAGAAAACCCTTGCTCGGCTTGAAATGCAATTTTGGAGTGATCACCAAGTTTGCAAGAAACACAACAGAGTCCGGTTTCCCGGCCTACAAAAGACTTTGTCAGCATGCTGTCCATTGAGTAAAACCCCCCATCAAACCATGGTTGGAGTTGTAATGCTCCTTGCAATGTGGCGGTTGGAAGGTCCTGAATTCTGCAGCCGCCGGCGGGGTCCATAAGCTTGATGGGGGCAGATGGTAGAGGATTTCTTTCATCAACAGTAGGCACAAACTATCCTCTGCATCTTCCGACTGTCCCGCGATGGTCGATCTAGTTCGGATTCGGCTGGAGTCGCTCGCCCGACTGGTGCTTCGCCAGAAGCTCTCGCTGCCCCAGCTTTTCTGGGTGCCTGCGCACCTGGACATGTGCACGCTGGCTTGTGCTGCATCACTTGTCATCACGGATGATTTGGTGGAAGAACAACATCTTCCAGAGACTGCAGGGATGACCAGGGCAATGTTTGAGACTGGATGGGCTCTTCATGGGGGCCACCTTCCACTGCACCGTCTCAAAATGCCTGGCTCCTTGAGCCGCTTCGTGTTCCGCTTTGGGTCGAAAAAAGGTTCTTCGATTCATCCAAAAAAGCCCGCGCAGGGCATCTTGTAGCCCATCCCCAGGTCTTTGCCGATCTCAAGGTGGCATTCTTTTGAGCTTCAGATGCGAGACATCTCCAGGAATTTTGTGAACTATAGAAGCTACTGCCCCAGGGTGATCCAGAGTTTCTTGGAGCAAGGTGGATGACCTCTTTCGCGGCTTCAAAGTTCAGCACCAGGTCTGGTCTGTGAGCTCCAGTATGGCCCACTGGCAGCGCAAGTGGGCTTGTAGACTGAGCAGCCTGCCATGCCAAGCTCCGTTGCACGTGCAGCTGCCGGAGCAGATGGATGCTAGCTAGCGAGTGTTTTCGCTTCTAGGACTCCTGCCGGAGCCCTTCTTTTTAAAACCCGTCTTTCTTCGGTGTCTCCTCAGTCCTCACAGGTCACCACACCAAATTCCGCGAGATCTATATAACCCCGCGAGCCAGCAGTGCGTTCGGTTGGTCAAGCACGTGGCGGGATGGGAATCTATAGCCACAGGAACCGACATGCTAAGGGTTCAACCTCGGAATCAAGCAGACCCAAGAGAACACCAATCCTATAGTTCATTCTTTTCAGGTTTTGAGTGAAGCAGTGAAGCCAAGCCCTGAAGGCCCTTAAGTATAGATCTACTGTAGAAGAACCTGATGCAGCCTTTCTGTATTCACCCCATTTCACCCCTACTGCCTGATTCTACGTGTTGCAGCGATGATTCGATGTAGTCCCCAAAAAGAGTCCCAAAAAGAGCGATGCTTCGCCCAAAAAGCGTCAGTGAGGAAACTTGTAACTTTATCGGTGGCGTTTTTCCAGCAGATGGGGGGTGGAGGTTTAACATCCAGTTGATGCCCATCGATCTAACTTGTCCACGCTACTCAAGAGCCCCCTAAAAACCCAGGACGCAATTTTGCCTGAGAAGTAGCTTAAATCTGGTGGAGACAAACGATGCGCAGGTCGCTCCGAGCTTATGGGACTTGTTAGATGTTACTTCCGGCTTTCATCGCTTGTGATAGAAACCTTTGCATAGTCTCCGCAAGCAGCTAAGGCAGCTCAACAGTTTTAAGCACTCCATCACAGATCGACTCAGTTTCTTTTGAAACATGGACCACTGGAACAGACATGTTTTTACTTTTCGTTCGCCCATGTGTCTCCTCGTTGACTCGGCGGTCTCCGGCGGGTCACTCGGTCAGAGGAGGTCGCACAGCGCAGGAATCGCTGGAGGTCGCACAGCGCCGGCATGGCATGTGGATCTTATTAGTATTCATGCGCCTAATGATCTCTCTCGAATGGTGTTTTCTAAAACCACCATTATCATGATCGCTTAAGTTGAAATTGCCGAATAGGCAGATGGCCTCCCGTGCTCCAATCCCCCTCCAATGACTTTTTAAGGCTGGCCTCCCAATCCAGTGTGCATATTTGCAATGTTCCCCGCACATCTCTAACCCTTTGCTGCCGGTTCGCTGGACCTTGACTATGCTCAGACTCCACATGTGGAGCTTTGGGCATCGAATCTCCTGTCCTGCACCATATCCTTTCCTGCTTTGGCACGCTTGTCACGCGCGTCACTCAGAGACAGAAGGTGCCCTGCCACCCATGCCGCTAATGGCTGAGCGACGGATCTGCGTTGCACCGCAACATCTGCGTCGACTGGGGGCAGGGTGGCTTCTTCGGCAATGCCTGGCCGTTCGGTGAGTGGTCGGCTTGGGTGGCGAGTGGTCCGTTCGCCAGTCAACTCGTCCTGTTTCTCAGTGAAACTCGAGTGAACTCGCCAGATCAGCTGACCTCGCATGAGGATGCGATGATGCATGACGATGCGATGCTTCGATCCGCGAGAGGCATGGCGATGGCAGAGCCTTAGCAGAGGCATGAGAGATGCACCTGCTGCAAGGCCCAGATCGATCGACCGGTGGGCATGAAGGCGAGTTCCTCAAGCACGCGTTGCGAATGTGCCTCGTGGGTGCCTCCATGGTCTGGCACCGCAATGACTGTAGATTTCATAGGTGAGCTCCGGCTTCACTTCCACGTAGCAAACTGCTTGTTGCATTTTTCAACATTCTAGATGAGTCATTACGTGTAAACAGGCTCGAGAAAGATGATGCAATCTTCTCCAACTCATTCCTTCTTGCTTCGATTGAGATCTACCAGCTTCTTCCGCTTGGTGGCTGCTGAAAGGTCTCACTGCCACAGCCCTTCAGCTGTGGCACTTGCAGAAGTTTTGCACCCTTCGCTCTGCAACAGGTTCCTTTTGATTCCACCTTCGAGCACCATGCTCGCTGCACCATGCTCCCACCATGCACGTGCAGGACGGTCTTGGTAGCGCCGTGGTCGATTTGCAAGGACGGTCTGATGCTTTGATCAGTTTTGAGGGCACCAGACCGATGCCGATCACCTCAACAGGTGATGCGAAACGGACACATCGAAAAACGTGAAGGCAGAGCGAGTTCAGCTGCAGCTGCTCCAGTAGTCTTGGAGGAAGCCAGGAATCTCCCAACCATTTTTGGAGGTAGGCCGCAGCTGAGACCTGCTTCCAAAAAAAGAGGTCTGAAGGTAGGCAGGACACGCCTTTGTGCTTTTCGCCTCCACTTCAAACAGATGTTCCACCATCGAGATCCGGTTCCTTTACTCACTGTCCTAGTATGCGGTTAGCTAAAATGCTGGGCTGGACACGTGGGGAACCTCAGAGGATGGCTGGCGAATCAGCTCGTGGGCCGCCCGCCTTGGCCCTGGCCACTGCCTCATGTTCAACGCAGCCAGATGGCTGCCGGGTCAAACAAAACCAGGAGACCGACCGGTTGACCTACCTGGAAGGTCAAGCTACATTCTGTTGGGGGTCTAGGTTTTGACCCTTGCCCAGATGAGTTGGCAGCTAGAAGTTGCAGCCAGCCGTTCATCCAACGACCTTCCGTGATTCTGCAGCGATTTTCAGGATGGCTGGAGGGAACTGGAGTTTCCGAAGGAGCCGGGAGCCTACGGTGGAACTCCTTCGAGAACTGCCATGAGTACCATTCTTCGGGCTCCTCACATGTGTTCCAAAAAATCTCTTTTTTGAGTCCAGGCTTCCACAAAGTCATGGCCCTTGGAAAAGGATCAAGAACTAGGGACCCCCGTGGCCGGACGTGATTTAGCATGAGTTTCATGTCCATTGGGTCTTCTTGGTGCCTTGTTCTCACGTTGATGAGAATGATGTGCATGTTCTTTGACCAGTCTTGCCCCACGGAATGGGTTATGTTAGATGGTTCTTTCTGGGTTCCTTTGCACCTGGGATCTACCCATGCCAAACGCGCCTCAGTCGCCTCGGTCGGTCGCCTCAGTCGCCTCGGTCGGACCAGTCTCACTGTTCAAACCTGCAAAGTTTTGTTTGCAGAGCTGCAGGTTCGAGGGCTCCCGGCCAATTTCTGTGTTTGTGAGGATGCATCCACGGGCCTCCCAAGGATTCGCAGTGATCTCTTTGGAAGCTTTGATGCCGTCAACACATTTGTTGTGTCCGAAAAGTGCATTCTTTCAGCTTGACATTATATAACTCAATTCAAGTCTTTACACAGATGTTTGAGAAACACATTTGATAAAGGTCAATTGCCAGCAACAGTTCAGACGAGCATCGCATGGAAAGGTTTTGTCCTTTTCCTATATCAGCACATGTGAGCATTCGTCTGCAGCGGCCAAAGGCAGTGCCCTTTGCGCTGTCGAATCAGCGCTCTCTTTGACGGCCCAGGTAAGCAGACCTGAACAGATTGCGCACGGTGACGGTGTGTCATCATGTTGAGCAAGTTTTGGATGTCTTTCCACTGCTGGTGCGTTCTGATGGGTGTTTTTCACGGACTTTGCTGACCCAGCAGTTCCGTTGTTTGGGGACGGCTTGACTTGGCATAAGGAGCTGATCAGAGTCCACAGAACTACGTGAGCGAACTTGTGCATCTGCCACACCTCTGCTGCACCTTTGTTGGAGCAACTGTTCTCGCTTGTCTTGAATGAAGCCAGGAAGAAGCCATCTTGACATGAGACAATGCCTGCGAACTGCGGCTTCAACCTTGGAAGCTTTTTAGGCTTGGAGCCGGATGAGCCTCTTCTACCCATTAATTATGGAGGCTGCGAGGTGGGTCTTTGTCATGGTGGTCTATCTGTCTACTCAAGCGGTGTCATGGTGTGCGTGCCTGAGCGACTTGCGTTTGGCAAAGGTGCCTGGTTTTGCATTTTTCCGTTTTGCAGAGACTGGGATTGCCAATTGCCTTCCCCTCTTTTCGAGGGAGCGACCGTAAGCACACGTTGAACACGTGGCTGGTTCCGCAAGCAGGTCCCTTCGCTGCAAAACTGTTACGCGAGACTTGGCCTGAGAAGGATCCTGCAAACGATTCGCTATGATCGAGCCAACCAAATCAGTGGAGGAATCTAGTCCTCTCTTTGTCTTACACTCCTGAAAACTAACATGGACCCAGGTCGAATGGCACCCTGAAAGACTATCTTCCTTTCCACACCAGTAGTTTTCAGGGTCCATGTTAGGTTTTTCAGCGGGGTAACATGTCTTAACTGACAGGTTCATAGCAAAATCTGCAGCTTTCGGCCTGCCTGCAGCGTGGCTTAGGGCCGGGCCTTGCCTGCAGCCTGGCCCCAGAAAGCAGCACATGTTTGAAAGCCGGATGCCTCTGGAGTTGTTTTTGCTTTTGCGTGACAAGACTCACGTTTGCTGTGGTAAAGGGTGGCCCTCGACTTTGGTAGAAAGCGCATTCAGAGGCCTAGCTTTCATTTCCAGATTTCTACACGCTGACCTCCGATTCTACATGTGCAAAGCCATGCACTTGGGTCACCTTCTGGTGGTGCAATATGATGCTTGCACTGTTTCGATCGCTTCTCGTGCCACTTCTGGCTTCTGCAAGCCATTGATAGGCCAGGTAAAGAAATTCCGGCCTACAGAGGTGAGGTGCTTTTCTTGTCTAGGGAGGTTAAGAGCTGAAGGGCGGACAGAAAGGAGATTCCAAGGTGCTTGGCTGGTACAACACATGTTTCAGACACTGGACTATCTGGACTCACTTTCGCTGCTCAAGTTGACCGACCCGAGACGTGCGGCGACGCGTCGGAGTCGAGACGACTAGGTGAACGACTAGGTGAACGGAACGAAAGGAGCGGAAGAAACCCTTGGAGAGGTTTTTGGTTTCATTCCTTTGTTGCCCATCCCATATGTACCACTCTAAGGTCCTAGTTCAGGTCTCTCAACCTGTCTTGGAATGATGAAACTGAAGGACCGCGAGTCTTAGGTGTTCATCGAGTCGAAGGTGCTGGAACACTTTCCCAAGCTGGATGTTGGAATGCCACCGTCGATTCAACCAGCGCCTTGTAAGCGGAGATGGCTTGGGTCATAAGGAGGCCTGAAATCTGATAGGCCAGAAGGACATTCGTGATATCTTTATCATCTTTATCCCTATAGCCCACCTTCGGAGGGGTCAATAAAACCCGTGATTCAGCCCCAACTCATCTAAATCCATCCACATCCCCCCGAAGCAGCGATTTCTGTCCGCCCAGCCAGTTTCGGCAGCGGTTCGGTGCCTGGCAGTGACGGGTCGACTGGGCGGGTCGGCGCCGTGGCGACGTCGTCGGCGCGGCGTGTCGGACTTGGCATTGGACGCTGTGGAGTGCCAGCGCCATTTAGTTCCATTCTGTTTGAACTTCCTTATGAAGTCCGTGCAGTCTGTAGTTCTTGCTCTCAATCCCGAGAATGTCTCAAGAACTTCCAACGTCAAGTGTAACTTAGCCAATGAGAAACGTCGAAGTTAAACTTGTACACCTCAGTGCGTCTAAGTTTTACTCATGTTAGTTGTCTTAAACAGAACAGATTCCGCAGAACGACGAAGTTTAACCTGGTTAAACATAGACAGAAACAACGTCGAAGTTAAACTTAGCCTTTGAAGGTTAGGGTCAAGTACACCGTCTGCCATATCCTCTTGTCAGATCTGAGGCCAGGGGTGAAACCGTCTGCAGTTCATGTCTGAAGAGCTTTCCCTCCAGTGTGCTACCGGGCGGTACAACCGCTTCACCTTCACCATGTCCTCGGTCGCTGGAACCGCAGCTCCAACGTTTTCGCCCTTCGGAGATGTTGAACGGTCTGCCGAAACTCAGGTCGAAGTGCCACTGGGTCCTTTCGGGGGGTCGACTCGGGTCTGGCCAACAGCGAATTGCTTTCGATTTGGGATTCAACTGGAAGAAGACTTTGTGAGCCAGTGAATGTTTGCGAACCTGAGCTGTGGCGGAGAAGGCAGCTTTTCCATCAGCATGAGTGATGCTTGGCGCATCAATGTAGCGTCCCTATGATGCTCTGAGTTGCAGGCATTTACCGGGCAAGTTCTGCCATTACAGCCTTTGCAGGTGTCTGCACTTCGTTTGGCGCTTCAGGCGCGTGCCCCGTGCCGCCACATAAGGGCACCTCGGGATGTGTGGCAGTGGCTTCAGAAACCGCATGGTAAGGCTCACTGAAAAGTAGCTTTGGACCGGGTACCCCCTAAAAACAGCCTAACTGGGATTTGAGCACAGAGTGATGGGTTTTGCGCTTTGGACATCCATCCCGTCCTTCGGGAGAATGACCATGGTGCTGACTTCGGGATTGAAACTCTGAGAGCAAGACGATCAGCAAAGCTTCCGAAGCGGGTGGAGTCAGTTTCCCACCCGGTTTCGGTTGCGACGACTCGATATCACCTGGCAGTTGGTCAGCAGTTACAAGGGAGAATAGGCAGCCCTGAAGAATTTGAGATCACGCTCTTGGGTGGTTTTTCGAGGATGGTTTAGTAAAGAGCGACGTCTAAGAATCCAGAAGTGGACTGGCGTCCAGGTGTCCACTCCAACCGATAGACCTTCCAGCCTGCTGATGTGTCCTTTCCAGCTCAACTTTCAGTGCGTCTGTGACTCAGCTTTGCATGATGTATGTGCTAGGCTCAAGCCTCACATGCCTCGGGTCGATGCTGAATTTTGCAGCTTCACATCTGCTTTGGCAATATCACACGGCTTGTGCTTTTAGATCTTTTAAGGGTACTCTTAAAGTTTAATAGCTCATTCTCACAACATGTCATTAGAGCCCACAACCTCACCTCACCGTCCTGGAAAGCCCCCCAGCTTCTTTTGCCACAGTACTTGGGCCCCTTGACATCAGCCCAGCCACATCACAGTTTTTCTCTTTGTATGCAATTGCCTTGAGAATGAAGGGTTTTGGGAAGAAATGCAAAGGTTTAGATTTGAAGTTCTCCGTTGCAGGCTTCGCTGAGACCACTTTGATGGCCGGTCTGTCGGTGTGCTAGGAAGTCAGAATGGAGTGTAGAGTTCGGGGCCGAGCTTTTCTTGAGGGGAGCATTTGGCTTCATCTCAAGCCAGATGAAGCTTGGAGACTGTAAAGTCGACTTGATTTGCAAGACTTGGTTGTCGCGTGCACACCTGAGAATTCAGGACAATGCCAGATCCGCCGGGTGTCACTCACACCAAATTGGGGTCGACAGGCGTGTTGTATCCCCCTTTTCGATTCTAATGCACTTCCAAATGTGAGACCCCTGCACAATCTTTCTGGGTGGGATGACCTACCTTAAGCACAGTCATACCCCTGCACTTCGTTCCGCAATTCCTCACCAGACTCATCAGAGAATGAGCCCTTCCCCAGTTTTCGGTGCCTTCCACTCACCTGTGAGCTTTTCAGACCCCGGTATCCATTGCAGCGAGAAAAAACGGGCGTTTAAGCCATCCATTCGCCACAGAGCATTCGATGCTTCGGCAGGGCCAAGGAGGTCACTTGAAGAACACCCTCCTCGGGTTTTCCACCGTCCGGACGTTCGGGCGCCTGGAATGCACGCTGTGAAGGATAGGGTACACTTTCAACCCAGTGTTACAAGGACATATGCAAATACACCCAACTGTGCGATTCTTAGCTCTTCCTTTCAGGCTACAGGGGAATGCAACATAGGACAGGGCCCAGGCGGCCCAGTGCTTGCAGCGATCCTGTGACCTTGTGCGGCGCCGCGCAGTCCAAGCTCGGATGCTGTGACACTCCATGCGTATGTCCATTTGGGGATCCTTTTTCACAACGGGCGAAGCATCTAGTCGTAGCAAAGGGAGGCGTGTTTTTGCAATACCCTCATCTTGAGACAGACTGCAAAGCTCACTCAGTGCGTTTGCGACCTGGTTCACCTTTGGTGTTTCGATCTTCGGCAAAGCATCCCGCGATCTTCGAAAGGTGACATCTGTTGTTTGAAAAGCGGAGGAACTGAGTTTAGGCTCCGGAGTCCAACATGGAAAACTCCAACGTTCGGGGGGTGAAAGAGACTCCCAACTCCATGTCCTGTGATCTCTTCTTTTTGCTTTGAAGGCCCCGTCGTTGGATTCGCCTTTTGCCCACGGAATTTGTTGCAAGCTGAAGTTGAGACATGGATGCCGAAAGAGGCGCAGCTGTGCGGGGTTCGGTTCATGGTTCATGGGTGCCATGGTTCATGGGAGCCACAAATGGAGCAATCGAGCCCCGTCCAGCAGTCCCTAGCGCCCCTTTTTTGATGTGTTCTTCCTTTGAGCGATCCACGGTGGCATGGCATGACCAACAGACAGTGTCTGGGACGTGATATTGAAAAAAACAGACCCTTACAGTAAAGGGGCGCAAGGTTTTTCTCACGAAAGAGGATTCAAGTCTCGTCTTGGAGTTCCCACACCAATCCGTGGGTCGGGACTCAGTGTTTGAGAGCTCCAGGCGAATGGGGAATGGATCCAGAAATGCCATGGGGAATGGGTCCCCGAATCTTTGCGAACTTCTTTTTGCTCCACACTGCGTTGGTACGACTGACATGGGGACAGTGCCACTGACTTGCAGGGCAGTGGCGTCGGGCTCCCAGAACCCAAATCCACATCAAGGCGACTGGAGCCACGGTCGTGCAGAGCATGTTGATAAATATCCCTCCCCACTTTGGATGCACTCACTTGCGGGCATGGTACGCATCCACACAAACCCTTGTCATGTATGAAGTGACCTTCAACAACTAGTTAACTACACCCGAAACAGGAGTATCACCCCCCCAAATTGGAGGGTAAAACCATGTAAAACCTCTTCAACAATGGGGGGGGCGGATGGTTTTATTCAAGTCTTCCAGGTCTCCCCTCCCGGTCGGCTCTTCGCCCTCCCGCCGTGCCGCCAAAGGTCGGGTGATCGGGCCCTTGGTGGGTGAAGTGCTGGGTGCCTGTGATGCGCGGCTGGAGGGCGAAGAGCCAGGTCTGGTGATCTATGTGGTGGAGGTGGGACCTTCCGGAAGCTAGCTAGCTAGCTGGGTGTGGGTGAATAGGCTCGAAGCGGAAGGCCAGCTCAAAACCTGGGTTTCGCCCTTGTGGGTGGTTACTGTAATCGTTCTAAATAGATTCTTTTTTGGTTCAAGGGGAAGTTGAGAGGGGGCTCAAGTTCATGGGATCTTGGAAGGGGCGTTGACCTGGGATATGAGGACAACCGGTGTTGGGTGGAGAATGTCGGAGAATCCAATTTGCTAATGAAAAGAGATTCATTGATGTTGAATGTTCTTTTGACCGAGAATTGGGGCTTCTTGTGAAGAGTTTGGGGATGCTTGCAATTTAAAACTGCTCATGCATGCAGACTGAACATCTTCATTCACCCTGTTCCTTGAAAACACTTGAATCACTTGATCCATCTGACTTTGGATGCAACTGCCAACAAAGTTTCTGGATTTCTGATGGAGAATGATCTTCCTCTATGTGAGGGCAGTAGTTCTTCAGAGGCAACACATGCATGCCTTCAGGGCAAGTGGTTCTTCGCTGGGACACCAGACACCGCTCCAATGACTCAACGACCCATTCTTTCTGATCGCTGCTGATCCTTGAGAATGTGCCAACATGTTGTATGCCCCGTTGATGCTCTTCGCAAAGAAGCGTGACTGGCAGACAGACTCCCTGTTTGCGACTTCGTGCACGAAGTCGCATGTCGAAGTCGCAGTGGCACACGACACTGGGATAGGTGGGGACCCTAGAAATTCATCTCCATTTCGAGAGCCCTTTTCGCAGCTTGTGCCCCCAAGTTCCTCTTCCTTGAGCTGCGCCTACCAACGAATCGGTCTGGGCCACGGATGCGATTTGGGTCGAACAGCCCACGGGGTGACGTGACCGAAGGACCTTTCTCTCAGTCCCTCGACTCCCCTGACCGGGTCTCCGGTGCGCCCGGCCCGGACTCCCTTTCCAGTTGACCAAGAACACCTCTGCATGGAGCAAGAACGCATATTTCTGGATCATCTTGCCATCCAATCCTTTTATTGAAACAATCCGAATCCTTTGATTGGCCATCTCGTCCGCCCTCCGCGTTCCTTGACTCCGCCCTGGCCCTGGTGCTGCCTCCATCCGCCAGGCAGCCTCCTTGGTCTGCCTCCAGGCGGCGCTCGAGGCCACCGCGCCAGTCGCTCCGTGGCCAAGCTGGGGGGCTTCGTTGCAGCTGGAGCTGTGGGAGGTGGGGCGAACGGAGAGCCGAGAGCGGATGGATTGGGAACTTGGGGCCATTGTTTGTTCCTTTTTGTTTGGTTCCCTCAGTTCTCTCTCTATTTTTGTTCAAGCCTTGTCTAGATTCTAGATGTGTTTTTTTTTCCGTTTGGGGGGCCAAGTCTGAGGAGATTTGGTCCGTGTGCACCAAAAAGCGCTCGTGGATGTCAGAGACTGCCCGCCTTTAGCGTTTGGGCGCGAGGACCATCAGCGTTGTGTTAGCGTCTGGTTCACAGCGAGTTCCAAACCCAGCTGTTTGCTGTTTGATGGTTCGTCATCCACCATTGGAAGACCTTCGATCACCTCTCGAAAGGCTCCTTTGTGCTGACCCCCGCCAACCTCCCGCTCAAAAAGCATCCATATTTGGTACCCCGCCAACCTGACCAACATGGAACCCATATGAAACCTGACCCCAAATGGTTCCGACCATGTTCCGTGGGGGCCTTGGGGTTCCACGTACGTCGCTGGGTGTGGTGCCGTACTGAAGCGACCTGGACGGTCTGAACCGACCGTCTCCGCAGCTTCCAGGTGGAAGGGCAGCTCTCCCTGTCCCTCCGACCGCGAGAGGCACGACGATGTCGTCGCGAAGACGGAGGTCGGTCATGGCCATGGACATGGCGGCGGCGGTGAAGGGATGTGAATGGTGCTTTATGACGGGTAGTTGTTGGGAGAGTAGGATCTTTTTGAAGCTATTCGCCTGTATTCGGGCGGAATTTGCACGCGAAAGGTCCGTTGAGCAGGGCGACTATTCCTGACAGTGGGACGAGTGGTTTGAGTGCCTACTACATTGGTCTGAGGTTGGCTAAGACATGCTAAGACTAAGGGAGGGAACAGAAGCAACGGGACCGACATTCTATCTACTTGGTGACCAGTCCAAAAATATGTCTCAATATAGTAAATAGCCCTCTCAAGCGACATGGTCACAGGATTGGACCGACCGAGGGCCCCGACCATTCGGATGGTATAGCGAACTTGACGGCCCGTGGTCGGTACGTGGTGTCAGGGAGCGGGTGGGAGGCAGGAGCGATGCAGTTCTTTCTCAAACAATTCTTTTTTCCACTGGTTTTGCTTGGGGGGATTTTTCGTTTCTCTGTTGGTGATTCTTTTTTCCGCCGCTTTCCTTCAGCATCGCCACATGTCATGCAAGAAAGACCCACCCAAATTTTGTCCAAAAGAACGGCCGAAACCTTCGGACTCGCAGATTCGCCAGTTCCGCGCCCCGAGCTTGGCGACCGAAGGGTTTGACTCGCGTTTGGCTTTGGCCTTGTGGGTGACCAAAAATGGTCCCCCAAGCAGCGAACAGGTAAAGAACTGATTCGTGGTTAACCTGGGGGTGCTCATCCCAGGTTGAGATACCTCTTTTCGGATGGTCGTTGAAACAAGTGTATATTTGTATATATATATATTACATTCATGAGGGTGCTGAAGCGTTGGGGATAGAAGTGGAGGATGGTGGAGTATGCCATGCTAGGACCATATGCGTCAAGAAACTCAAAAGCTAGTATTGACAGAGGCTGTCAGAAAGATTGCTTTTATCTTTGAGCATGGGCAGCTTTTTACATATGATTAGTTTTGCATTGGCGTTGCGTAAGGCTTTGCCGTGGTCATCCGGGCTCTGTCTTTGCCAGGAGCTCGACTGGACATGCTCCACTGCGCGGGCGCAGATCCCGCCCTCCGCGCCGCTTCCATACCTGCCATTCCGCCAGCGCTGGCACATGGAGATGGCAAACGGATGAAAATGTGGTGCTGTGAAGAGGGAGAGTTTAGGACAGCAGCCGTTGTCATCCGCTTGGCTTTGAGATGCTTTGAGTTGGGCAAGTTTGGCAAGTTTGGGTTGGTCACTGGGTGTGCCACCGGAAGACCTCAGGTTGTTGTAAAAGGGCGATTCGCGGAAGACTGGCTTCCGCATCCAAAGTCCGTTTGAGCTCCGTTTCCTCCGTCATCAATGCATCGGCCATGTTAGACAGACACGTTTCGTCCGCCTGGCGCAGAAATGCGCCCTTCAGCTCCTTCTTGGTGCAGACAGATGCTACGAAACAGCTGGAAGAAAGAACGTGTGCCTGCCATGTTGCCTGCAAATTCTGGATGGTTTTCTTCTGGAGGGTTCTTGAGATGTTGATATTTGTGATATCAGTGGGGTTTCCAAGCGTATGTGCAAGTGGATTTGACCTGCATTCGCTCCCATCTGGATCAGATAAACTCTTCAGACACCAAACAAAAACACGAGATCAGAAGTGCCCCCAACGAGTGGGACCCTCATCCAACATCTCTCACCCCGTCTCCATCCCAACATCTCTCTCACGCTAGTAGGTTGGAGGCCATTGCTCTTAGGTTGGAAGCCATTGCTATTATTAGGACTGCATTTCTATTAGCTTGGAAGCCATTGCTCTTAGGTTGGAGGCCATCGCCACTCCTTTTCTTCTTCACTTGTGAGGCGACTTGTGAACGAAAGGCGCCCCACGCCATGGACCGCCACCCCAACCGGCGGCCAAGTGCCGCGCGATGAACGCCTCAGTGGATGGACCTGTGGAGAACTTGGGCCGCAGAGTGAAGACACATTCAACTCCTGGGGGAAAAGAAACTCCAGTGGTGTTTTTTTTTGGGATTCATTTCTGGGATCTAGAACCATGTTCTTTCCTTGGTGCTTTCATGACTCTTTTTGGGTTTCTGGTTTCTGGTTTCGAACCGGCGACCCTCCAAAACTGAGGGTGCCAGTGACGCCCGTCGTCCCATCCATACCCGTCCTGTGGGCGCCCTTCCTGGCGACGATCTGCTTGGCTGCGGCGATGGACGTGTGCTACGTCAGCCGGGGCAGCCGGGAGAACTGTCATTTGCCATCATATGCGAGGCAGATCGGGAGCCGGGCACTGTGTTTTTTTAAGATGTATGTATACATGTTTATGTATTACATACACATACACAAATACAGAAGGGGTGGCCATGGGGCCTGGGTTTTGGTTTTCCATAAATGTTCATAAATATTAGGTAAATGCATCAGTGCCACAATCAAAACCAAAAAACACTGATAAATATGCATAATAAAAACCAAAAAAGAACTAAAAAAGCCTTAAGAAAACAAAAAACAAAAAAAACAATTCTGGGAGACTTTTGGCTGGACCCCCCAAAATCAGAAAAAAACAAAAAACCAAAAAAACCTTGGGAAAACCAAAAAAACCAAAAAAACCAAAAAAACCAATTCTCAGAGACTCTTGGCTGGACCCCCTTGTCCTCAAGACTTCCTCAGAATTGTTTTTTTTTGTTTTTTTAGGTTTTTTTGGTTTTCCCAAGGTTTTTTTGGTTTTCTGATTCTTCTGATTTTGGGGGGTCCAAGCAAGAGTCTCTCAGAATGTTTTTTTTGGTTTTTTGTTTTCTCAAGGTTTTTTGGTTTAGCATCTGAGCTTACTTCTCACCTCAATGCATCTGTTCTTTTTGCTTACATCTGAAGCCGTCTGAGCTCAACACTTCCTTTGTCCTTGTCCAAATCTCCATATACAAGTCTGAGTGCATTAACTGCTGACTGGTATCAATGCGGTTGCCACTTGCATTTCCAAACAGCTTGACATGCAGTTGCGAGGACACTCTGTCCTTTACATGAAACGGTTGGAAATCTTTGCGAGCGTACTTCTGTGCTTGTAGCTCAAGCGTTTACATCTTATTCTGGCGAACTTCTCATTTTAATTTCAATTCCTTTCTAATTCAACTCTCATCCAATTTCAATTAGGCTATAGTTATAGTTCAATACAAGTTTAGTTAAAATTCGGTTTTGATTCAGTTCTATCTTAGCTCTAAATCAAATCCAATTTAATTCTACCTAATTCTATTCTAGCTCTAGCCTATTTAGTTTAAGAAAGCACATGCTACAAAACCCCGTGTTTTACAGTATTTTTTGCCTTGGAAGTGTTGGGAACAAGACTAAAACTCTTTTTTGAAGTAAATAGTTAGATTTATCTATTGTCAGTAATCACTGGAGATAATATATACATATTAAACATGTTGTATGTACAAGCTTCTAATTCAAGAGCTTCCCTCTAGATCTCTGGGGATCATCATTATTACAATAAAACTGAATATAAGTTTTCATTTCAAAAGCTTTCCCCTGGATCTCTGGAAATGGTCATGTCAATTTAAGCATGCTATATATCAATAAATAAGTCTTTCTTTCAAGAGCTTTCCTTTCATGAAAACACATATATACATATATATATATATGTGGGATATCTACTTTGCCAGAGATCCTGAGGAAAGCTTTGAAAATGCAAGCTCTTGCCCGCAGAAATCTAGAAGAAAGCTTTTAACATACAAGGTTTCTATATAGTTGTTTAAATCTAAACATGATTATCTGCAGAGATCTATAGAGAATCTTTTATAACATAAAAGCGTCTATATACAATCTTTCCAAATCTAAATATAAGCAGAGATCTAGAGGACAATTGCTAAAACGACCACTTTTATGGCCTGCTTCTTTTCTAATTATCTAATTATCTTGTTCAAAACCATCTGAATGATTGATTGCTGCTTTCAAAACAATAAAATTACCCTGACTCAGGAATACATAAAGTCTTCTCCAGTTGCAACCAGCACTCTTCCAAAATGAGAGTGGGTCTTAGTCTCAGTCTTTGTTATCAGGGTGGAAGGTGGGGTGGTGGAGGTGGGCGCTCCGGCGTTGCCATTTCTCCCCCAGATGGCGATGCAATCACTCGCACTGCACAATTTATATGTGCATATTGATATCCAGCTTCAGTGGCACCATTCAATTCAATCCTGACATAAAATTGAATACTTGGAGGTATTAAATCCATCCTGGCACCATGGAGCTACAAACCCAAATAAGCTTCAGATCACTGGGCTCAGATCACTGGTCCAAGCCGTTCTGTGTGAGGTAGCGCTTCACCATTGGATGGTCACGGGGGCCCTCCTTCAGCATCCACCTTGGCAAACATTGTATTTAGGAGATGGTGCAAACAATGTAACTTTGATCCTCTCAACTTGGCGGCTAGTTGATCACCCCCCAACTACAGGGTCCTATACCACTACACTACACTACCACTACACCATCACTACCACTACAGGGTCCTATAAGGCCTATGTGCCCATCATCCTCTCTTATCCCTGGCCGGGCCGCTCCATCCTGGCCGCGTCGGCAATTGCCTTTGCCTTCCTTGGTGACTTGTTTGCAGCACGGGCAGCTTTATGCGCTCCGGAGTACACCTTGGATCAACATAAACTCAAAAATAAGAAGGACTGATGTAGCACCATCTATATAACACTATAGCAACCTCAACGTTCTCCTCAACTAAGTTCTGCCTAATGGCTGAATGAACCTTCTTTTCCACATCATCCTTCTCACGAGCTTTTCCATGAGGCTGGCTCTTGGGGGTCTTAGTCTTGGTAGGGCTGGTACGTTTGGTCTGAGTCTTGGTCTTCCGTGTTGATTGCTTTTGGGCTTTCAGAGGGGCAGCTTGTGAAGCTGCAGATTGGGCACATCTCTTTCGGCCCTTCTTGGGTTCCACAGCAGGTTTTGGTCTTGGGGATGGCTTGGCCCTAGCCGCCCTCAAGGGAGTGGGAACCTGCTCAAGATGATGAGCACCAATGTGTCCACCATCCACAAATTGTTCAGGGATGCCAAATAGGTCACCCTTGGCGGGTTCATCCAAGGGTTCATCCGCGGGTTCATCCGCGGGTTCATCCGCGGGTTTATCCGCGGGTTCATCCGCGGGTTCATCCGCGGGTTCATCAAAACTCTTAGGTGTAACCAAAAGGCCATCCCAAGGAATCCCATCGTCAAGAGGAGGCATGGTTTCTTCTGGACTGTTTGGTGGCTGTTCTTCCACTGCCATCGGGACCATGGCCGGTTCGGGGGGCTCTTCGGGGGTATTCTCCAGCTTGTGCATGGCAGCATCCAGGATGTCCAGTGTGGAGTGCACCTCCTGAAAAATAACAATGAACCCTCAAACTCACTATTTGGCTTTGACTTGCTTTGCAACAAGGTGAGCATGTGATGATGGTCATCATCCTGGTCCTGCATAGTTTCTGCGGCCATGGACATCAAGTTCCGAGGCTCAGCATCATAAATTGAAAAGTCATCACAAGCAAAGCTCCGAGCAATCTTCGGGGCATCCTGTCAACGAGCTCAATTGGCGGTAGATTTGTCTTCTGAAAGGCCAGTCCTTGTAATCGGATCCAAAGTCCGGGAGAGTGTCATAAAGGTTACTGTCCTGACACTGAAGGGATGCGAAAGGCTTCCAAAAAGTAACACCTAGAATGGAATCTGGAATCCTCACAGAGCATTGGTGCTTATGCACTGGTTGTTGTTTTGATTTAAGTCAGAGGGTTTGCCAACACAAAATGCCAGTGACCATGTCCAAGATGAACCACATTATCCTACCCAAAGTTGCCATACATCCCGTTCATATAGAAAGCTGCCTTTTTTGTGGAAACCCTATGGCCTGGTCGTCCTCCATCCCAAGCTGGTTGTCAGGTTCAGTCGGCTCCCGTGGATGCAAAATCCTGGGTCAAGGACAGTGGGTGGGCAGCAAGTTGAGGCACACTGTGGAGGATGGAGGGGCGTTTCAAAACGGAACAAATGGAAGAAACAGGTATATGAGCACCATCCATGTGAAGAAACTATGCCGAGACATTCAAGGGTTGAGACAAGGAGCTGGACCGAATCATTGAGGTCAAAGCAGTCAAAGTCCAAGCCCAACGTTTGCGACCTATGGCAAGCTGCAAGTAGGAACTCATGAGGCATAGGCGTTTCAAAGGCTTTTCAAAGGCTCATGTCATCTCATGTCCATGATCCCTCATGATTGCATGATTGTTGAGTCCAATGCTTTTCAAAGACACCTGTAGGAAGCATAGCGGTCACCACCCTCAATCAAGTACTCGAAAGGCTCAGGCGCCTCGACCTGCAACACTGGAGAAGGTTGAATCCATGTATCCTTGCTGCAACAGTAGTGCACCCGGCAGGTCAAAAAGCAAGGGCTAGCCTGCAAATCAGCTTTCTTGGAAGGACGCTTCATGGCACCACCTCTTCCCCTAGCAGGTCTCTTTTTGGCTTCTTGTGAACCTGTTGGGCCATCATCCTCACCAAACATGTCACCAAGCCCCTCAAGACCACCAAAGATGTCGTCATCATCATCATCATCTTCTTTACCTCTCAATGGGTTATTGGCATCATCTGGAACGTCATCATCATCTTCTTCTTCATCATTACGTTTCTTTTTCTTTGTCTTGTCTTTCTTGTCTTTTGTGCTTTTCTTGTCTTTCTTTTTGTTTTTCTTATCTGCCTGCTGCTGCTCACCTTTTGTCTTCTTGTCCTTTTGCTGGGAGGAGTCATCAGATGATGCGACCCGATCAGGCTTGATCTCCGCAGGGTCGTCAATGGCGGGGCCTGAGCGGCGGGGCCAATCAGGGACTTACACATCAGGACCAGCCACTACCAGACTGAATTATATGTTTGAGACTTCAGACCGATTTACTAATAATACTTCAGACCGAATATGTTTCTGTCCCAGCCACTGCCAGTGGAAGGCCGACTGCCACTGGCAGGGATTTTGGGTCGGGAAGTACCAGAGCTAGGTGGTGCCTGCCCTGTGTGCTGACGCATCAGAGCCTGAAGGTCAAAAGCCTGAGCAGAATGCAACAGGTGATGTTTCCAACCCCTGCAACAATGCATAAGGAACATAACCACCCATGTTCCAATGGAACATGGTTGGCTTCAATGTTTTGCTGGCTTTTGATTGCCAATGGCCAAGAGTTTAGAGCCATAGAGTTCAAGTAACATTTTACTGCCAAGGGACAGGCGCAGTGCTCCGGGGCGGTGTGATGATGCGCACATCGGAGTCATCACTCACCGTATGTTTCAATACTTTCTTACCAGCCATCACTCCCTAAAAGAACGGTCCTCCAGTTCCAGCTGAAGTAGGCACCCCGATGCTACCTCACCTTATGAACCAGCGCAAACATACAGCCAGTCCTCATGATGTAGACCTGCTGCAAATTTCTATGCAGGCTGTCAGGCTGGAAGTGAAGGACAGCAGTTTTGATCCGGATGCGGGTGGTTTGCTCACATGGCCAGATGCACTCATAGGCCACCATTGGCTTTTCCAAAAAGTAATTATTTGCAACCAGATTTCTATCAATCAACATATATCATCAACAACAGCTAATTATATATATAACACGGTTTGAAACTGTTTTGGCTACTGCTTCATTCTGGACCGATCGAGTGCCTGGGGACCCCAAAAGCTTACTTCAATTACAGGCTGTGCCTGAGGTGAAGAAGCGGTAGCATCATGGCGGCATTTTGACATCAAATGGATCGTTCTATATGTTGGTTTCTTTTATTAAAGCCAAGAGTTGACTTCCGCCAGATGCTCCCCCGGTCAAAGTTCAAACATGTTACCCTGGATCTACTCTCAGAAAATCTTCACCACAGCATCCCCAAGGTCTAAGACTCCGGTCAAGCAGGCAATGGGCCTTATTGGTACCAAGGTCTTCATACCTGAAGATCCATCATCCAACCTGCCAGGGCGGAACCCTATCACTAGTCTTAAGATGTATATTATTTAGTAAGTTGCAGGAATAAAGAACATGACCATGAAATGCAACACAATACTAAGCAATCGTATATCAATCCTATATATCTTGAACCCGAACCACCACTTGCCAACACATGTTTGGAAGGTGAGCCTGACTCGCCATCCAATGACAACACGGCTGGCCCTCTTCAACTTGCTGATGTCCAGAATGGAGCCAAAATTGTTTGCGGTCATGTTGCCTGCCGCTGCCTTCTTCAGCTTCTTCTTGTTCGGCTTCCCACTCGCCTCGCGATCTTTGGGAGGATCCATCAAGAAGCAAAGAGACTTCTGGCGCTCGATCTTCTCAGAGTCAGAGGAGAGGTTGTGGTGGGTGACGCACAATTTGACCTCAGCAAAGAAGGTGTTGATTGAACCAAGTACAACCCAAGTATGTTGTATTGGGATGGTGCAGAGGCATTCACTTGTGTTAGTTGATGTTTAAATCAAAATCGAGCAAGGAAGCCACTAGACTGACTGATTCGATCTATATACATTTGGACCCAGGCCTCCCCAGCATCTTCAAGCTCCCGAAGAATTGTGGCCAGTGGCGTGGGTGAGTCCACGCAGGGCAAACCTGCCAAATGGCTGGCTAGGTTCTTCTTCTCCAGGATCATGACTGTGTCCAGGGTGACACTGAAAGCAAACCATCTGCCCAAGGAGTCCTCCATGACTTCATCTGCCTCCTTGGGTGGCATGTGTATGGAAAGAAACTTGAAAGTAACGGCCCAATTACAGGGACTGGTACCAACAAGTCACAAATAGTTGCTCATCAAAAAAGCTAAGTAAAAAAGCTAAGTATCTTTGTTCATCCGCCAGTCCCCACTGCCGAAGCTGAACCTGACTTCGTTGACAGTTGATTTGGGAGTTTTGAATGGTCATCCCACCACGCAAAAAGCCCAACCAAACAGACTTCATAATGGTGAATTGCTTAAACCAAGTTAAGTTGCAATTCCCGGTGCATCAAGAACTGGTTTTTGCCACGGCTGACCAGGTACAAGGGCATGCCATTCTCACCACAAACCAGCTCAGCGCAATTGTTGATCGGGAAGCTGTACCTGGGTAGTTTGGCTGTATTGGATGAATTTCTTGGACCCTGCTTTGAACCTGTTCAATTCTACATTAACATGGACAACATCCACTCAAAGATGTCAATCCGTTTTTCATGTTTTGACCAAAACCATGTAAATCAACCATTGCACCTTAGCACCTTGGTGCTCCTGCGAACAGTCCAAGATACGGTTTTTGTAGGGTGACAACATCGGCTTCCTTGGCCAATTCCGACTCTTCCAACTTGATCCGCTTGAGAGGACGACCTTCATCGTCTGGCTTTGTCCTGAAGGATGTGCATGCACAGATGCGGTGTTGGAAACAGGGAAGAAGACAATCTGGGGGGAGGAACACATGTAGAATTCAGTCCAGGATTGCAGGGTTGAAGGATCTTCCGATTCACTGAAATCCTGTCGTTTTGGAAAATGAAAAAATAATTGGGCTTTTGAGTTGTTCAACAAAGCCGTCCTCTCGTTGGCCTCATGCCAGTACTCTCCGTCTTGGTTGAACTCATTGTTGTGCTTCTCAATTTCAGCCGTGGTGGCATCTTTGAACTCTGAACCCATCCATTTGGCAGCCAACGCCTTGAGGATGACCAGCTTGTCATGCTTTTTGACAGTGACCTGATACTCCTTCCCTGTGTCGGTGGGGCGCATGTTCTGAATGGCACTCACAGCAGAGGCAAAATTGGGAAACCCCACAACTTTGATCTGCTCGCTCCGGCATGCCTCGTAGATGTGGTTTGCCACCCGCTGAGAAAGCGGTTCAGGAGCTTTGTCGAGCACGATGTTGGCACAGAGGACTCGCCGGCCGGTTGAACTTTCCTGTCAGGGTTTGGATCCACCCACAAAGTTTAAACCACTTCTTTATACTTCGATCATAACATACCATGACTGAAGGATGCCCTGAAAGATTGTTTGGATGAGGGGTAATTTACTGAGGGGGCAATTGGCAGGAAGGGTTTTGATGATACAGTCATATACAGTCCTTCAAGGCAGTCAATGCAGGCCAGCAGTCGTAGCAGTGGAGGTCTACAACCAAGCAAGTGCTGACTGTTTGGGGCAGGAAATGGTCCAATGTCTTCTGCACAATGTCCGTTCCACCAGCCACCTGAGATAGATAGACACAAGTTGGGTCTTTAAACTTCATCCCCAAACACTAAGTTTTGACCGTCCCCAAACAAACAAAGTTTTGCCTTTTTTCACAGGATGCCTGGCGCAGTTCCTGTGCATCCGTGAATGCACGCCCCAAGTGAGGCAACGCCGTGGTTGCCTGCCAGGGGGTTAAAGACTAGGCACAACATTGCACACATGGCACTAAGTTGTTTAACTGGTCTGCGATTCTATTCAACAGCCCTTTTGATCATCGTTGTCAGAAGGGTTTCCAGAATACTTTTCATAACAGCGCGCCTCAGGTTTGTACATTTGCGACCTTGGAAGCATAGAGCAGTCACGGATCAAAGCATGTTTAAACCCAGGCGTCCCCTTGAAGATGTTGAGGCGGTCCCGATGCACGACTGCAAGACCATGGATACAGCCGTCCCTTTTCCCGTAGACTGTTGCCTGACAGGGCAGTCAGTCACAAGCAGTCATTGAGGGAGCAAAGGAGGAAGGGCCCACGGCAATACATGGCTAAAAATGCCCTAAAACATAACTAACATCATAATAAAGCATCGCAAGGAGGAGTCAGCGCCAAGCCACCTTGTCAAAGACCCATGTGAGGTTCTTGACAGTCAGGTTGCGAGTGCTTGCAGACAACGCCTTCCTAGATGGTTAAGATGGGCATCATAACCCGAAGAAAGCATACAGTGATGGTTCATGATTCAAAAGGCTGCTACAAAATCCCAGAAAAATCCCATGTGGCAGGTGTACCATTCCATATTGTTGGAAAAGAAAATAAGAAACGTCTATCTTAAGCAGTGATGGGATTCTCAAGTTTGTGTCGAATGTCCCTGATGTCTGACTCCTCCGGGTTCTCCTTGTCGTTGTCATTAGAGGCCGTCTCGTCCTCTTCATCCTCGTGCTCGCTGTCTTCATCCTTGGTCTCTTGCTTCTGCACAGCCTCCGGGTCAGTCTTCTCAGTCTTCTCAGTCTTCTCTTTCTTGTCCATCGATTTCCTCTCAGGTTTTGTGAGCGCATGCTTGGTTTTGTTCCTTTTTGTTGATATGATTTAGGTGTCAGTTCTGAACCAAAAACAGTGATTTACAGTATCCCTATACCAGGGGGTTCCACCTCAGTCCTGCCAGTGTCGGACGCCCGATTGGGATGGATAAGCACTGCTATAGCGTTCCGCTTGTGGCTTGCCAATAGGTTGGTCAAGGCAGTGATAAAAAAGTCCCACTTCGATGCGGGCATGACACCAACTGTGGTCATGTTGATCCAAACGAAGATGCAGTGGTCTTCAACAGATCGGACCTCCTTTGATGTTCTAGGATTGGCAAACCCTCACTTTTGGACACCATGAAGTAAATCAAGCAGGACTCAAAATGACTAAAACAACTGCTAGGCACGGGGATATCGTTGAATGTATCATGAATCCAGCTGGCCATCGCCGGCAAAACCGTTGATTCTGCTTCAATAGCTCTGCCACTGAAGAACTTCAAGTTCTGCTGCATGAACTCATCCACCAGGCCCCAAGCTTTGTTGTGCATGTCCTGTTTGGGCGGCCCCAAGAATTAATAGATAGACACCCTAATCACCCTAGTTTTCTCATTGTGCAGCAGGGCTCAACCAGGCTTTAAATGTTATGTTATAAGTGTTATCTCCCGAGGAAGGCATTCTGATTGAAGCACTGTTGTTGTCCCCAGAAGCGCACCAGTCTTTTAAAGAACCCCTGCCTCAAGCTGGGCAACCAACTTTGTTCGTCGCTTGGCATACTCCTTCTCACTCCTTGGGGCGGCCGACAGGAGCTTAACACAGGTTGAGATTAAGCAGGCGGGAGCAGAGCATTGCTGATGTGGCTGGGCCGACGTCTTGGGCATGTGAGGCAACCCTGAACAATCGAAGTTTAAGGACCCGAGGACCTGAAGGGGAGTCAGAGAACATGCGCGGTGAAATTCCCAGCGGATTTGTTTGGGCAAAGCTGCTTCACTTTATCCTTTCATGGTTTCCACTGAAACCCTAGAAGCCCCATACTATACTTTGCATGCTGGCTCGGAGAACACGCGACAAATCACATGCATTCCAGGGGTCAACGTCCTCTGGATACAAACCGAAACATTTAAAACGTATAATATTCTATAAGTCTATTCAGCACTGATAAGATGTTGAAAAGGATGATGGTAATCAGGGTAGGGCTGGGCGTGAGGACTAAGAAATATTGAGGGTGAAGATTTCATGGCACCGGTGGTAACCAGCCTATTTGTGGACACAGCTTGCGAAAGCTGAGCAACATGACACAAGTGAGGGATGTTCCCTGTTGTGTTGCCAAGTGAGGTTGAAGGCCACGTATTGAACGTTTTTGTGTCCTTTGTCGTGCTGCAAGCAATGAACACGCACTATCTCAATCAAGATACTGTTTGACATGGTTTTGATGGGTTTTGTATACCCATGTGCTTCTACCACACAGCACCCTTAAGGTTCTTAATATGCACATTTGTGGTACAATCCCCCATTTGGACATCAAATTATGCAACAGTCCAGACCCGGGGCTTACCAAATGAATAAAAGTCTTTTTGGAGGCAGGGGTCGCGATTTTCTCGCTGCTGACCTGGTCTGCAGTCAGCATCTCTTTCCAAACATTCCATGCAGCAGCCATGCTTTTTGAGTGTGCGTTCCGTGTGCGATCTTGCGCTTGGCAAATGAAATCATCCACACACTCGCCACGGATCTGAGAAGGGGCAACTCCACGAAGGAAACCCTTGGGTACTATGAAAATTGAACACGAACGATCATGTGGAATCTAGTGTGGAATCTTCTTTAAATACTTCAATGATAATACAACCCCCGTCCCCCCCCACAAAGGTAAATCCAGGAGGACCTCCAGCTGGCTCTGATAGCATTAATCTGCGCAATCTAGTGGGGGGGAAACGCGCGCCGTTGAATCCATTGAAACAAGCCCTGCCCATAGAATCATGGACTGGGGCATTGAGCAACAATAATAGTATTTTCCCACCTGGCCTCGAGGATGAAGGGGATTCTCTCCCACTCAAAATCCTGGGCGGCGCGCATGATGCCAGCAAGGTCTCCATCCAATGACCTTAATTGTCAGGTGGTTGGAACATGTTGGAACTAATGACCAAAAAATGCCAAAAACGGTCAAACATTAAAATATGTTGAAAAACAAATCACACTTGGAAGTTGAGATCCTATCGCCAAATGTGACGGGATCCTGCAGGATCCCTTGAAGATTCTTATCATCCTGGAGCCAACAAATCACCGTGGAAACCAAACTTTCAAGAGATCCATGTGATTCCTCCTATGCAGCAGCCTTTAGAATTGCGACGGGATTCTGCAGGATCCCATCGCAATTTGGATCATGACATTGCGCCCGGGCTTTCAAGGGTTTTCATTGTTTTTTAGGGGGGAGGGGTTCGAGTCTTCACGGGATTTCACGGAATCCCATGATTCCGCCAGAATCCTGTTTGGCTGCGGCCAACCCCTTGAGCACATTTGTGACGGGATTTCAGGAAATCCCATCACAATCTCAAAGTTGAATTTGGCCCCAGCCAACCCCTCGAGCAAATTTGTGACGGGATTTCAGGAAATCCCATCACAATCTCAAAGTTGAATTTGGCGCCAGCCAACTCCCCTCATCAAATTGTGACGGGTTTCTGGTGGAATTGGCGCCAGCCAACGCCCCCCACCAAATTGTGATGGGTTTTTGGATGAGTTGTCGTCAGCTAACCCCCCTGAGTTTAATTTTGAAGCCCAAGGCACCCACGCATGAACAAGTCGTGATGCTTCTCCACCACTGGGGCCGGGAATTGGCTCTTGAGCTTCGGCTGCAGCCAATGCCAAAGGCACACCACATCGTGGAGAAGATGCTGGGCGTCTTCGTCGAGCTGGGCGTTTTTCTGAGGCAAAGGTGGGCTGCAAGGTTGGGGAAGTTGACCTATTGTTAAAAAGTATCGGAGAATAGATTTTATGGTTGACACAGACCAAAACTACTTGGTTTCACACTCTCTGTCCTTCGCCTTCAACGATGCATCGGGCGGCGCACGACGCTTGAAGTCCTGATGGCTGACCCACATGGGGTAGGAAGAAAGCATGATTCAACAAGAGAGTTGGAGAAACACACACATCACACACACAAACCATTGCAAGATTTTCAGAGGCTGTCCTCTGTGGCCCTTGTGATCCACAACTCACATGTCTCAAGATCAGGCGTGAGGATCTCTTTGAAGAGCGCCTTGTTCTGAAACTTTGTAGACTCCGATCTGCTCGTGCTTCCAGGAACCCAAAAGTCTTGCTGGAGCACATCCACCGGCAAGGCTGACAGGGTGGGCAAAGCTGTAATGGATAGGTATGGTGCATATGATGGATGAGACACACATATCCATTCCCCAGTGGTTTGTTTTTGGGAAAGCCCAGCCTGAGCATGTATGGGGATAAAGGTCGTAGTGCCTATGGATGAGCTGTTGTGCATTATCATTGGTTCGGAGCCTCAACTGGCGCACGCGAGAAAGCACCAATGGCCTAAAGCCCTCCTATATAAGCCAGGAAACATGTTCAGGATCAGGCTCTTCAACGGAGAGTCGATGCGATGGCCCTTCTTGGTCACCATCTTGTTATACTCGCTGACGCACCGACCCAGCACTTCTCGCAGCGCTTTGCTGCCAGAGCCAGAGCTGTTCAGGCGCCGTTCAACCGCAACAGCCTCTTTGAGCGCACCAAGAAAGTCGAGAGGAGACGGCGCTTGCTTCTGGGACGATACATATTGAATGCCTCGGCTGGGATTCCCATATGACGGTGGCAAGGTTTGGGGTAATATTATTGATCGTGTGGGCTGCATTTATTTAATCGAAGCTGTCCCCTGGTGCATAGTCAAGATTCGAAGGGCATTCAAGTAGTGGTGCCCTGGGTTGAGAAAGTGGGTGTATGCGCACCTCACCCATGCGAAGCTGTTCAACATCTTCGCCACACCCGGCAACCCAAGCTGTTCTGGTGTGAGTTCCTTAGACGTTCAATGGCCAGGTCAGATAAGCAGGTTGATATATGTTTATATGAAACATTGGTTTATATTTTATATTAAAGACATCGTTCCAGGGGAAATGCAATCATGGTTCCAGCTCATGGCATATCATGGTGATTCCGTACATAATGAGCAGCTTGCAAAAACCATCATTGACCCCCACAGATCCACTATAGATGGTCCGTGTGCCATCTCCGGACGCAAATTTGCAGTCCACAGCCTCCGCCGATAGGCGGTATCCATCTTTCAAGAATTCCTTGATGTGGGATGCCATTTGGATGTTCTGCGGGAAGTCTGTCAGGGGGAGTTCAGTGCATGGACGTACCAGTTGTTTCAAACCCGCATGCAACTAGAGTGAGTAAACATGAGTAAACATCTCGAGAAAAGGATTTGTTGCAACACCCCCCACATCCGGACTTTGACCGCGCTGTCACATCAAAAGCGGTCAATGGCAAGTAGAACTCCATCAGGCTTGAGGTTGGAATTGTAGACAGGGTTGGCCGACTGCTCTCTGAGCAAGCCCTGTCCATATCCAAGCAGTTCACCACCTGACAGGTTTGCGATGGTAAACTAAGACAGGGCCCAAACGCCATCCAGGCCAACCAGAATGGAAGCTTGCCCCAAATCTTTTCCAAAAGCTAGGGACCTGGTCGATGGTCCTCCGATCATACTTGTTGATCCACTCTCCAAAATTGCAGCCTTGAATGACCTCACTGGGCTAGAAGGTCTTTTCGGGTAGGACACACACAATTATACAATATGAAGAAGGGCATTGAAATGCTTTGTGTAACGTTGAAAGCAATTTGGCCCCCAACTGAGTCAAAGAAAGTGAAGATCTTCTGCAAGACTTCATCGCTTGGGGCGTCTTCAGCCAACTCCCCCATTTGGATGGCTAGGCACCTACCCTGAGAACAACAAAGCTATTGTAAGCGCGCAATGGAACCTGGTGCAAACTCCATAGTACTTACCAAACAAAGCTCTAGCAGACTCTAGCACAGCAATTTGTTTTCAGCGGGCCCCATCACGGATCAGCTAAGATCCTTCACCCTTCTCCCCAACGTCATGTGTCAGCAAGTGTGACATCATTGACAATACCACAACCCATCGTCAGCCTTGCGGCGGCCGATGATGGAAAACAACCGGAAGCTTATATGGCTTTGGTGGAGCCATTGGTGGGCCCAACCTCAAGTCACCCAAACCGAGAGAAGCAGATGGCCCCGCTTCAATGAAGTTCAGGACAGGGCATGGCTGGCGGGGCCTATCCTTGTCCACCAAGCTTCTCAGATAAGCGACACCGCGTCGCAAGTGTGGGTAATCAAGCTCTATGAAATGAGCCATTTGGGTAAGCTCCTCACAGCGGCCCTCATCCAAGTCCGCAATGAGCTTTGCAGTGGTGGAATTGATCTTGTTGATGAAGCTCTGCGTAGCTGACACGTATGCGCTTGGATATACCAAGAGGGGAGGCTGGATCAAATGAGTGTCGCTCATTGAGCTTTTCACCATTGCAAAAATGTCTTTGGCGTTTCCATCAGTCCGGAGTCGACGCGGCAATTTCTCATCTAAGTCAAGGCCGTGTCCATTGCCAGGCATACCTTCACGCAAACACCCTTAAAAACCAGAACCAGCAGTAATGGCAAACAATGACATGCAAGACAACATATACATCCTGAACGTTCTTTTGCAGGCCTTCTCTGGCCATGAAGGAAAAGGACTGTGGGACACAGAAAGTCTCACCATCACCCCCATCGCCCCCATCAGCATCACCTTTGCGAGCCCTGTAGCAGTTCTTCAGAGAAGCCCCGGCAGGCATGATGTTGCACCAATCCCGCATCTCAGAAATCAAAGGATGACAGTTAGGGGACTCAGACCCTGACATCAATTTCCCCGCCCCTATAGGACAAGTCACCGTGTCGACAAGCTCGCATTCGAACACCATTCCAGACTTCTCGAATAGAGGGCGCATGCGCTTGATCAGGGTCCTGCAACAAAGCTCATTGCGGGCTAAGGGAACAATGAACCATGACAGGTGGCCTCTAAACCTTTGTTGGAACGGGCACCACTCTCCTTTGGACGTCCCTTGGGGTCTGTAGATCTTGTTCAGCATTCAAAGCGCTTGTCACGATGGAAAACACTCCATCTCAGGGTAGCAGGAAGTGGCATGTTGAATTATGTTGAACTATGTTGAACTCAAAGCAAGAAAGCAGCAAGAACGATCTATTCTATTTCTATATCTATCTATATCTATATCCAAGGCTGGCATGAACACAGTGGTAGTTTTGACACAACTCCGCCTATGTCCTCATGGGTGTGGCCCACCACCATATGGTGGTGGGCCACACCCTTGAAGAAACCCCCCTGGCACATCAAAGAGGCCCAACGGCCAATGTAGCTGTTCCGAACTTCTTTGACTGCATTATCTCCCTGCAGCCACAGCCTCATTGTGGAGCGAGCTCCAAAACAATAGACACCAACACCCATGAACACACTGACTGACCTCACCCCTGTCATCCCCGGTCCACTTTGCTGATTAGAAACTCATCTGGGAATGGGATGTTCCTGGATCTGGCAATCGCAAAGGCTCTGTCGATTGAACGCATCGCCTGAGAGGCGGGCAGTTGGGAAGGGCGCATTGGGTCAGGGAAGCAGGAGCAATCCAATATCAATTGAGTGTCAATCAAGTTGCAACTTCTATTGTCCAGCTAGCCCCAGTTGGGAATCCTTCATCAACCATATATAGGAAACAGCCAAAGCCGTGAACCAAGCATCCCGTCAGCGTCATGCTGGAACCTTACATTCACTTTGGAATGTTTTTAGGGTGTTTCAGAATGCAATACAGCAATGACACATCACAGTAGTTCAAATCTAAATGCACACAATCTACGACGCACTTGCTCATAGTATGAGCGCTTTGGGCAACGTTGGAAGGGCCAACGTGGGAGAACGACCTTTGCTTTGTCGTAGGAATCGATTATAAGCACCAGCATGTCACCAACGCTCTTGGCCCGCTCCCGTGCTAGCCAGTACAGTTTGCGGTCTTCAAGTGTTTTGTGGTAGTGTTGCAGCAATCTTTCACTGAGCTGGCAATGGAGCGATACATCCTGGGTGTCAAGACCAGACCACATCCATGATAAAGAGTAACCCATTCTTTTAACATCTGACCACTTCAACCAAAAGTTCCTGAACTTTGATGGGTTTCTTTGGTGTTCCGAATCAACATCTTGAGCCTGCTGCATGTAGCACATACAGCATGCTTGGTTTTGCGATGGAACCGGAGGCAACATTTCCACGATTGGGCCACTCCAAAGAACGTAGATTTGCTAGCGGGTATTTGCTGAGCAGCTCGACAGTGAGCCTGGTACAAAAGGTACACATTGCTCCAACAACCGTGGGGTAACTCACGAAGTGCCAACCGATTCGGGTTTGAATTGAAACCAATCTGAGTAAACGGAGACATCAATCGAACATCGATCAGTCTCTGTAGAAGATCTTCCCGAAACTGATGATCTCCGTAGCTGCTGTGTAGGTTTGCTTTTGAGACTATCCTTGGGGGATCAGTGATGCAGGACCTTATTGCCTGAAGCTAAAATGGCATCAAATGATTTGATGGATATGTCTATTATTGTCTTGTTTGTTGCCAAAGGAGCTCAGTGGGCATGGACTCTGCTGCAGACCAATAGAGATTGATCAGGAAGTTTGTCACACTGGCAGATTTCACTGCAGGTGGTGCAGCTGGCCCTGAGAGAGAATCTGAGGGGTGAGGGTCGAGCTGGGTACAAGTGTGGAAAGCGCATGAAAGTACACAACTATGTTTGTTTAGTTTCCAATCTTGGGAAAGTATCCTCCTGCCCCACCAAAAGATCTCGCATCTCGACCCTGAAATGTGCGGCGGCAACGCGAGAGCCGATGTTTACCAATGCCAAGGCAGTGCGCCCATTGGTCCCTGCACATTGGATATCCTGCAAGCATTTGTCAAATGGTTTGTGGACCATGTACCGATTTGGGTTTGAATCTCAAGATTGAAATCCAAAACTTAAAAACCACAGAGCTGAATATTTGGTCCTGCCATGTACCATTGTTTTCTCTTTGGGCACTTTTGAATCTCCCACAGCAAAGCATCTTGGGAAGTCTTTGTTAAAGACCAGAAGGCCACGCAAATGTTGTAGAGGATCTTGACAGGCATCTTACAAAGGCAAGTGCACCGTGGTTTCAACACTGACCGCTTGACCCTTGATGGGTCCATCCCCTTTTCTGCATACTGGCAAAGATCATTCTTATCTACCTTTCCACTGGCATGTAGGGACTGAAGTCTTTCCAGCGTCAGGTCAACAAAAGTTGGGCCAGAATCAGAATCACCATCGCTCATACTTCCATCGGATTCAGAGATAGCCGAAGAAGCATCGGAGGTCTCTGACTCGCTATCAGATGTGGACTGCCTAAGCTATAAGGGTTGATAGCCAGAAATGTGGAGGGCCTTTTTAGAATCCATATGAACCCATGAAGCTAGTGGCAGCTGGGATGCTCAGACTCAGAGCTAGATTCAGCTGAACCATCGTATCTCTGAAGCTGGAGGTCGGGTTCATCATCCCAACGGACCAAAGACATAAGGAGGGCGGGCCGGTTCAAGCGTAACTCGCAACCCCATTGAAACGGCTGATCACTCATCATGTACAAAAAGGATCAACCCATGGTGCTTGCACTTGGTTCGTTGTAATTGGAACATCAAAGCTGCTTTCCTTTCTACGAGTGAAGCGGCACAGAAGCATGTAAGGAGATTGAATTTCAGCTCAGGTCAAAACCCTGCAATCGAGGTCCTGCAACCGGCTAAGATTTCAAATCCGACCAGCTAATCAATAGCCTTTCAGGCACACAAGCACTAATTGCAGCACACATGCATGGTAGAACGGCTCTCATGGACATCGCGTTGCCCCCCAAACTGTGAAGAACCTTAATCAGCGTATTTGACATGGCACCCAATTTCCGAATGAATGACAACACTAAGGACAACCTGTTGATAAACACCTGCAGCGGTATAAGGTATAAGGTTGGGATTTGGAGACGACCATGTGCATGCAAGAAGCCGACTCAGAGCAAGAGCTCAAATTCAGCCGGTGAATCGGATGGCCCATAAGAAGCGTAATTTCCCTCCCCAGCAAGTAGCGCCCTTTGGTAATTGACAGAAATTTTCCAGCGGGCCTTAGTTGGAGGATTGGTTTGAATACATGATCTATCACCATATCTGGTTGGAACATGTTGGAATGGCACCAGACCCAGAATGTTACATTAGGCCATGGAGCGTAAGGCACATCAAGTCATCACTGTCTTTCTCCACAACCGGGATGTGCGCCAAACTCTGGGATGTGTTGACAATGCTGAGGCTCTCGTGGTGTGCTGCCAAAAGGTTGCATGCCTACGGCGTTGGCCAGTCCACTTGCGTACTTGTTGCAACATGTTGCAACATTGAAAAACATGCACTGAAAGGCAACATGGTAAGCCAACCAGCCTCCATCTCTCGGTGACTTGTAATCTGCTTGGCAGCCTTTGGATACTTCTTGGCAAACAACTTCTCCTTGTTCACCTTCCTGACGCTGACCTGCGGCCAGGCTTTTGAAACACCATGCAACCCAAGAAACATGCCATAGTATGTATTGCTGTATTGCATTGTTATGGCATTGTATTGCATTACATTGTAAATCCCCACCTTGTTTGTTTTGGCCCAATCACGATGCATTGTCACCCATTTGGATTGGGGGTTGGGCTTCCTTGCAAAAGAAGAGTTTGGATGCAATGCTATGTGAGAGTGAATTACATCCAGAACTTGGGTCCAAGGAACTTCGATCCAGATCTCAGCCTTAGTTTCTCCTTCTTTTGCGTGTCCCGGACCACAGCTGGATGATCTCCAGAAAGCAGCAAATCAATCCTTGGCACGGTGTTCGGCTGGCAGGCTAGCAACGCTAGCAAGTATCTCAGGAAAAAATAACAATTAGGTTAGGGACCACTGTCTCTTCTCATTGGTCTTCATTTTGTCCATCTTGTCCTTGATGAAGTCCCCAAAGTCCTGCTTCTTCGCACCTTCAGTCATGACCGCCTCCTGAACCATGATGAGGTAGATACGCTTGCGGCTCGTTGGTGCTCCATACCGTGTCCTGGGGTTTCATGAAAACATGTCAAACACCTCCATCATCCTCAAAGATATCATCAATTCCCATCATCCTCAACTCCTCAACCCAACATGTAACATGTCACATGTTGCAGAAGAGGCACGGATTGACAATGACGTAGACCATCCTGTACCTCAACAATAAAGGATACATGCCTACTGGGCAGATACAACTGTGTAGTTTCCCATAACTAAGCCAAAGTGCCCTGGACAGTTCCGGTCGATGAAGCGTCCCACCGGCTCCGCAACAGCTTGGAAGCCAAGAACGTTCTCGAGAACAACTACCTTGGTTGAGGTGGACATGGTAAGGCCAGGGAGCAACATGCATGCCAGAACGCTCAAAACATAAACATTGTTGAGGGGCTTTTGGACGAGTAGACTTCACCCTCTTCACGCACGCAAACAACTGCCTGGAGTTTGGGTCATCAAGGCGACCAAGGCTTCCCAAGGATGAGAAAGGCGTGCAGGGGAACCCTGCGCAATATATGCTGACCTCCCGCATGGTTCGGACACGGTTTCCAGGATTGGTGATCGGGTTTCACTGCATGACTCACCCTGAACCTTGTCTTCTAGCGGTTTGTTGTCTTGCTTCAGCACTGTTGCAGTGAGCCTGATTCCATGAACGTGAATGTAAACAAAATCAAACGAACATTAAATATGTTCCCATCCAGAAGTCACTTGAGACTTGACATGGCGAGCAACTGGTGGACATTGAAGTTTCTCTTCAGAAACTCTCTCTTCTTCTCGTGGATTTCTGAGGCCGCCCTTAGATAGATTCCACACAAGCTGTCATCGGCAACCCCCATCAACCCCCCAAAGCATGCAGATGAGTTGTTTGACGGAGGTCATGTGTTCAAGAAACTTCATGTCAGCCCTTCCTGGCGAGCGGCAAGTGGACAAGACGATCTTTCTTCTTGGCAGCGTCGCACAGCATTTGCAGGCCCATAAAAGGTGTGTCAGCGCCACTGCCTTGTTTGGTGCCGCTGGTTTCTTACAAGGAGACATGAACCCAGACATGCAACATTTGGGATTCTTTGGGTACTTCATGGTACTTGTCCCAAACCACGATTCGGAACAGTGATGTTGCAGCTTTGGCACAATCTGATGCAAAGGTCAACGCCCCATCAGGCCAGCTGTTGAACCATCGGGTGAGTCCTCAGAAATCAGTTAAAAAGGAACACACCCGACCCTACTAGCAAATCAATGCTACCAAAACCTGTCCCGCGCGCTGCGTCCTAGAATCCACAACTGCGCAGAAAAGTGGACCCGACTTCATCCAGGTAGGCCATGGCCATAGCATTGAGCCCAGGTTCCTGGAGAGAACTGTCAAAGAGATCCACCACTGAACCCCCTCACAGCCCAACATCCCAAGAAACAGCAAACTACAGTCCTCTTCGGACACGTCGCTCGATGATGACTCCGACGAGGTCATTGCAAGGCAGGTGGAGTAAAAAAGTAATAGTGTTTACAGCTGTTTACATGTAGATTGTGATAACTCCCTTGAATCATGTGGAAGCTCTTTCAACCACAATGAAATGAATGCGCACCCATACATACTGGGAGCCAAAGTGCCACATCCAAATTGGATAAGAGCCACTTACAACTGTACAAGACTATAATATATTTGTTCGTATAGAGTGAGAGCAAGAATAGATATGTGTGTTTACATGGAGAGGGGCTGCCACTGAAGCATTTACCTAAAATTTGGGGAAAGCCAAAACCCAGGCCCCATGACCACCCGCTCTCCACAAATAATAAGGGCAATTATATAATCAATGGTTGGTAGTTTCAGAAACTTTTTCAACCTCGAAAGACAGCTGTTGATTGAAGTCGGGTGCAAAACACACCCGGGAAGCGACCCATGTTCCCCGTCCCGGTCCCGGACGTCCATTCACCAGGCTTTGGTCTCGACGATTTCGTGGATTGAGGACGAATTCCCAAGCCATCCAAGTCTTCTTCCCGCCGGTCACCTGTCCTTTCTAGATACCAGTAGCTGCCCCTCCACCAAGTCCTGGTCCATTTGGGTCTGGAAGAACAGCCGTGCTCGTCCTTCTTTCATACCACTGTATGATGGACAACGTGGTCTCCATAGCGCGACCTAGCCAGTGCCCTGTGCTGAGTTTTCTTCCGTGCATTTGCAAAGAGCCGCTCCAGCCATCTGCCGCATTCCTTCCGCAACCAGAACGGATTTGTATACCAAATGTGCTCAAGAGAAAGGTATATAAACATTTCCTTAACGGACTGTGCAAGATCCCCAGAAGTGGAAATTTGACTCGACAAATACTGGGCAGTGGTTTGAACTAATGCTGAGGCATCGGCATTGGCGTTGTCTTCCAAAGGAAGACCAGGGCGAAGTGCAGCCCACCATGGAATGGGGTTAGCACATTTGACGCCGGCCAATGGCGTCATCTCATGGAATTTCAATATTCCTTGGAATCCTTTCTCCGCCCATCTCCTTTGCGCTGATACCGCTGACCAATAAGGTGGCCCATTTGCTTCTCTGGTAACGGACATGCTGTTGAAGCGCCTCGCTGTCGCCCTGAAATTTGAGACGGACAGGACATGTGTCTCCAACAGCAAAATTGTATTCTTCCCAGCAGTTCGCTCGCTGTCTATGCCTGTGTACTTAAATGCCTTAAAAACCGCCTTAGACGATGCATGTGCGCAAGACATGCTTTTCCGACCTGCTTTAAGAGACCCTTCCATTCTTTCTCTCTGTTTTTGAAGCTTTGGAACAACCCATTGAACACTATCAAAGCTCTTGCAGCCAATCTGGACACAGCCGGACATCATGGAGCCACAAATCAGCATACACTACTGTAATTCAAGCCAATTCTGCTCCGCAAAGAGCAATGCCCAATTATCCTGATCTGCAAAATAACAAAGTTTTTGCCGTTGGCGTAGCCTTTCTTTTCGCAGGGGTCTTCCCGTGGGTCGTTTGGAGACCCAACTGGCACAACATGTCATCACTTGAAACCGTCCATCCACCAATGGCAGTGTGCAAGTTGAAGAAACGAAACACCACTGTCTCGAGGTGGTGTGGGTCTCTTGTTGGGTAACAAGAGACCAACAGGCAGCATGATGAGACAGTTTTGATTGGATCATAGCATCAAACATGTGCAAGAAAAAAACACCTTGAGGAATGTCACAGTTGTTTGGCACAGCTTTGCGCCGAAGGGAGCGCACGACCGATTCCACGCCACTGAGGCACTTTCAGCCGTTTCGTGGCGCCCGTCCTCGGCCGCGTCCCTGCGTCCGCGTCCTGCTTGCGGAGCACGTGCGCAATGATCCATACTCCTTGTACACTTTTGCCGCTTGGCCATTGGGAGAAAGCTGAAAACCCTCCGTTCAGCTCCTGAGCTCCTAAGTTCAGCTCAACTCCAAGCGCTGCAAGTGAAAAAGCTGCAGCTGGGCCAGCTGCATGCGGTTACTCCCACCTAACTCAATCAACTGAATGACGTGAGAAGCAAGAAGAACTGCAACATCATCTGTCCAGACTGGGGTGCATGCAAATGCTCTCATTTGTACAAGATTGAATATAATGTCCCTAAGCTGGGTCACCTGGCCAAGTGCCATCCAAATGCACTCACGCCCATGGTGCACATGTTGGAACAGAGCTTCCACAACTAGCATTTGCATTTTCCCAGATATTTGACATTGAGCCATCCGGCAGTGACGTGTGAACCAATCATAGATAGTTAAGCTGTTTGATTTGTGGGTTGGATGGCCGAGCTGGCTGAGTTCTTGTCCATATTTGGACCACGTGGCCATCCACCATCTCTCTCTTGCTCTCGCCTGCTGGGCTTCGTATGCCTGCTTGACATCCTACCAACATCAACAGGGCACTTGGCTTCGCTTCAATCGATGGCAGGAATCACCCCCCGATTCACGAGACGCTTCGACGCACCGCAAACACGCCGACCTCGATCGAGGTCGGCATGTGACGTCCTCGTTTCGCTCCTCGGTGGTATGGCCGAGACAACTCGATGTCTGTGCAGCTTCGCCCCGGGATGCTTGATGTGTCATTTATAGCTCCTTCTTGCAAGCTGTCTTGAGTCTTTTGCCACGTTTCCTACATTCATGTAACTCAAAGTCTGCCCCAGGTCCCATGTTCGTTCGCCAGAAGGGAGGCGCTGCGTGTCGCGAAGCCAACCATCCCCCCCGGCACCAAGGGCTCTCTTCTCTTCGGATGAGACGAATGATGCGTCTTCTTCGCCGGACTCAACAGCCGTTTTTCGTCTCAACAGCCGTCTCTCCACCGGTCGCGGTCTGCACGGACTCGGTTCGCGTGGCCGTCCGTGGCCTGCTCCAGGCAGATTGTGTGGTGGGTCCTGGTGGGAATCCTTTTCGGTGGCTGGGTCGTCCTCCTGCTGGGTTGGTCCGCGGGCGCCAGCTGGAGCTATGGCTATTTCCTGGAGCAATTTGGAGACGAAGAGCCATGGGACCGGGCAGGAGGAGATTCTTGGGAGAGTTTGGGGCGGAACCGAACATATTAATACAACTCAGGAATGATAGAGAGAAACCATTGATAGCTGGTCTGATACATGGATGGAACGGAAGGATACGGCGGTTTCGACCTCGTTCCCGGCGACTGGTCGGGGAACTGATAGACCCACGGTCTGATTCGGGGTGTCCATGAACCACCCCTATCCGGGGGCCCTGGTATTTATGCATCATTAAGACCTGTTTTCCGAAGGATCCGCTTCGTTTTGGACTGCGGATCTCCAACCCTTCAGGGCTGTCTCCACTGTGGATTCCATAGACCACCCCTGTGGGTCCTGGGTCTTCAGTTTTTTGGTAGAAACACACCAAGTGGAATTGAACTACTAGGAGCAAGGACGCTACTAGGGGCTCCTGGTATCGCTACTAGGAGCAAGGATGCTACTAGGGGCTCCTGGCTTTACTACTAGGAGCAAGAAACTATGGAATTGAACCCCAGGCAGTTTTGTCCGCCTTGGGTCGCATGGGTCGATCCTGCCAGCTCCCCGTGTTTCGGCTGACCCGGTGACCAGAGGCGGGACCCCAAAACGAGGCTCCGCGTCCCGCGGTGCCATGGGCTGTGCGGCCGCTGTCAGCCGACCTGTGGGCAGCGCGGAGACAGCGGCCGAAGCGGCCCTGAAGCAGGTGGTGCCCTGCGACGACGAGGACGAGGACGACGAGGTCGGTACACGGCGACGAACCAGCGGCACCGCGGAGAAGCACGTGAACTTTGCGGACGCGCATCCACTGGCGGCTGAAAGCACCAAGAGCACCTCTTTGGTGAAGATGAAGCCACCCGGAGCTGCCGAAGCGTCGGAGAAGATCGAGTTCGATGACTCCAAACTGGGCAGCTTGATTGTTAATCTTTTCAGCACCAAGCACGCGGGTGGTAAAACATTTATATATATATATATGTGTATACCAAAACATATTGAGTATAAAAGAATATATCAACAACAAACAACAGGATAGTATAATATATGTTATATCAATATATTATAAGTGTCGTTTAAGTTATTTGTTAGCCATATAGCTCAGCATTCTGCAGGAAACAAGCTGACTCAACTATTTTGTACTGGGTTGGAGTGTATCTTGATCTCTTAACAGTCGAGACGTCTTGACCCCTGCAACCTCCGCTCAATCTGTGGCACACTAGAAAGACACACTGATTAAGAGAAATTATCTTCGTTTCCAAAAAGCTTCAAGACATGGTAGGTTCCTGAAACCTCCAACAGAGGTTAAGTGACCTTATAGGACTTTACCGGGGTACCGAACTGGGATAGTCTAGTTCGGGTTCTGACCCACCTCTGTTGGTTTCTTCCAAGGAGTGTTCAACTCCTTCGAGTGGCCGGATGGCACCCACCCGAGGGGTGTGGCGTTGCCCACCGGCCGCGTGGACCATGAGAGGAACTCGAAGAAGCTGCGTCGATTCTTGCGGCGTGCAGAGAGGGAGCAGGGCTGGTTCCAGATGGTCGTTGGGAGGAGGACCTGATGGAATGATCGCACCAAGAAAAGGATCACTTGCTGTGCAGCCTGAGAAGTCCCAAGAACGGGAAGCCTCTTCTTCCGTCGGTCAGAAGCAGGGGTGGAGGGACAAGACGGTCTGTTTTCGAAAGTCCTTGGAGAATTGGAACACAATTCTTAATGATTTGGCCTGGATCACCAGTGATTTCCAACACCACCGGCGTTCTTGGTTCTTTTCGAACTAGAATAGGAAAGGGCTTTAAGTGGGTTTTCAAATCATTCTGCAAGCCATGAACCAACCAATCTCACGTCCAACCGTGTCCTCCAAATACAATGCTTTCCAGATGTCAATCTCCGCGCCAAAGCCAGAAAAGAAGTCGACCATGAGTCAACTCATGCCATCATCGCGATTCCAGTTCGAAGCAAGAAGACAACTTGACTGGTGATCTAGGTGTATCCAGCCCACTCGGGCAATGGTTACCATCGCCCGCGTCAAGGTGGATCGCCCACGTGTTTTGGTGTCCACATGTACACTGATGCCCAGAATGTAATGGAATGTACCATAGAACTTGTCCATACAGCAAGGGATGCAAGGCAAAAAGGCCATGTCCTGGAACCCCAGTCCCAAGCAAGTGAGACTGGTTGAGGTTTGGAGAAAATTCAGATTCTAGCCACATCGAAATGCTTTCAGCCAAGCATCGCAAGGCACTTGAAACATCTTGAAACTGGTTTGAATTGAGGTTCCACTTACTGTATTGGACGTGTAATGGACACCTCTCTCTGTGCCTCCGCCTAACCCTCACAAGCCGTGGGTGGATCCGCAACGGGCTTTTGAACACAGGGTGGCAAAAAGAGAAAGTCGAGGTGTGTGTTTTTAAGGATTTACATTGGAAGACCAAGCCAAGCCCTTGGAGATGTATGAACTGATGCCACCCCTGTCGAACCTTACCCAGTGAAGTTTCCTGGCAATTTTCAATGCGAATTCGGAAGGTCACAAACTTTCGGAAGATGTTTGGCCCAGGTTCAGGAAACTTTTGGAGCTGGTTCTTGGATGAATGCTTAGCCTGGCAAATGATGCTCACTTGCCGACGGATATCTCTTAACACAGGCTTTCATGGCCATTTTCCGTCGAAACGACCGCATGGCTTCTGCGGTGATGGCCGACAGGTGCCGTTACGGAGCTGTTGATTCTAGGCTCACGGCTCTTGCCGCAAGAGCCTCGCTCCTTTGTTCTACAGTCACTCCAAAGGAATGACAAAAGAGAGCGGGCGAAGAACTCACAATCAGCAACTATCAAAGACTCGAAGAGGACTGTATCTGACAAGTCCTTGACTCAGCATTCAGAGGATCACAGACTGTTACTGGTACTGGGCGGTGTCTGGGGGCGCACTACTTGTTGGCTGAAGTCAAGAAGATTCATTGGGAAGGTTTTTGGAAACAATAAGCTACTAGGCGCTTCTGGCCTTACTACTAGGAGCAAGGACGCTACTAGGGGCTCCTGGCCTCGCTACTAGGAGCAGTCTTACTACTGGTAACAAGAAGCTTTCTAGTGTTGCTGCCGTGGGGTTGGTCAACATGTGACATGGTAGGTCGGGTAGGTGGTGGTCTTCGGACCTGTGAAACAGCTGTGATACAGGTTTGTCCTCCCTGTGAGCATTCCATGGGAAAGATACCCGGATCATCACCTATCATGCCTTTTCCCTTTATCCGAACCCTCGGATTTCCACCCAGACAGAAGACATCCTGCACCACTTTGAGGCATAGCTCATCCACACAGACCAGCAGCCCACACCCCCATACAATGTTGTGTCATGTAGGTAGGTGGTGCAGGATTTTGTCCTTGAGACCTATCCGGCGATGTCAGATATGTGAGACAGCCTTCGAATGTTGAAGAAGAAGTGCGAGAGTTCGATATATCTATCGTCCTCACAGAGTGCGGTGCAGGATTTCTTCCGTCAACGGTCTGGACACATCAAACTTGTGGCACCATATTGACCAGCCCCACCTCAGCCAGACGTGATTGGACCAGCAACTGGCAGATGTTCGGCATCTTTGAAGCAACACCCAGTTTTTGTGCCGGGACCGCTGTGATCCCCGTAGCTGAGAGCTGGCCTCGGGGCCCGAAAAAGGTCATCCGCAGATGCCGCAGAGAAGGAGATTTGGGTATTGAAACCCGGAGAGGCCCCAAAGACCTCCTGTCCTGGGCAATAGAGCGAAACCCATCAGTTGGGTGTTTGATTTGGGGGGGTCCCAGTGAGGTGAAATACCAACCTCCGACCAGTCGCAACGCCGCCAAAACCCCATTGGTTGGGAGGTCTCCCTATGGCCCTATGCGCACCCAAGATGCTTTGATCAGCACGACTCGACCCTTCACACCCCGAGGTCGGTGAGCCTAGGGAGCGGTGGTGGTATGATGCTTATGATGCCCAGCTGGGCGGTAAGTGCCCTTCAGTAGTCTCACAAATGGGTCGTTCCAACCGTTTCAGAATGTTTCACCATCATTGCAAAAAGGGGCTATCAGTTTCCACCCAACCAGAACTAGGATCACTTCCAGGAGAATGAACCATCACTCGCGAGCGATTAGTCAGAATCAGACTCGCGTCGTGTGGCTGAGGTACATGCTGTCAGTGGACAACTTGCTCCTTGTTGCAGAGTTTCTTCGCATCTCTACCCCACAGCCGGGCTTCGATGATGAGGGCCCCCGAACCAGCACGTGTGGTAGCGCTTCTTGCAGCATGCTCGGTATGGAGAGGCTCTCAGAGTCCATCATTTTGATGAAGTGTTCCCCTTCACCCTGCGCAGCGAACAGAGAGATGTGAGAAATGACGGACCGTCGGCATGTGTTGCCCCTTTCTTGCCAAAATTGCATTGCTCGTGTCACCGAGCAACGCAGGACAACGCCGAAAACGCCGAAAACGCGAGCGACACCGTCAAAGGGATCGTCCCCTGCGACTGATGATGGATTCCTCCTTCAAACAGCGAACAAAGTGGAGCCAAGATGGCGCCAGAACTGATCTTTGATGTTCTTTTGTCGGAAACCCAGCCACTTCCCTGTCCCGCGCACCTAGCGACTTGGAAAGCCCCACAACTACTTCGTGTCCTGCACGTGAGAGGCTCCCATCTTTGAGCCTTTGCCTGGTGAGGTCGTACTAGTCTCCACCAGGCATTTGTTTATTAAAAGGGTTCCATCTTGCATTACGTTGCAAAGCTGCAAAAGCCTCTGAACTTTGGGTGGCCCACCCATTCTGAGCCCCTCCAGGTTTGTCTTTCAGCTGGTCTTCAAGTCCTATGCCACCCCAGAGTCTCACGTGGAGGGCGCGCTCTTCTGGGGCATCGCTGCGGCCATCTTGCTCCGCCTGGGCTTCTTCGGGGCGGCTCGGTGATCGGTGTGAGGCGGTGGGAGGCATGAAACTGGGAGCTGTTTACAGGAAAAACCATAGAAATAATATGTCATATGATGAAATAAGAAAACGTCATGGATTGCTCATGTTTTTTTTAGTGGATGTCCATGCCTTTACTTCGAATTGGGTGCGAAAGGATCGAACGTGGCGCCAGCGATGAATGAACAGATTTTCATGTGGAAGTGTCGAAGAGGAGGTAGCCAAAGAGTCAGGTCGACGTTTTACCCAACAGATGAACCTCTGATGAAGAACTTCTTTTCCTTGGGTGCTCCAAGTCAACGATGTCTTAGTCTATCAGTCTATAGGCACGAGATCAACCCGATCAACCCCAAATAGATCCAATTTTAGATCCGATTTGCCCCAAATCGCCTCCCCACGACCCGATCGCCGTCCAGTTCCGCCGTCCGCCGTCCAGTTCCGCCGGGCACCGCCGTCCGCCTACTGAGGTGGGCACGTCGCTTCTGGCCATGGGCTTCGTCTCGAGGTTGGTCTTCGGCGTGCTACTCATCTACTCGGGCATCAAGGCCTTGTTCGCACGCGCGCGCCAGCAAAAGCGCGCCAGCATTCGCGCGGGAGGTCTTTTGGGCGCTTTTGGGGTGGATGATGGGGAGTCTGAGCGTTGCCTGGAAACCATGGCAACCAGATGCAACCCTATGCAACGTCGAACTCCAGGTTTTTGCCACCGAAGCTAAGCACAACTGGAAGGTCACCTCAAACATAGGCCATATGTGGTTTCCCGGACCTCGCAGTCCGATGGAATTCCGCAGTCTCGAGGCCATCTTCAACAAGCCCTCGTGAACTGGTCACTGTTGGCTCACGCATCAAGGACGACCGTCTTTGGTGTTGGGTCAACAGCCTGAGTTGGTGGTTTGATCTTCACCGACCCAGCGGAGGGTCAGTCGAGTCTAAGCCCTCTTCCCTCGGTTCCAAGGAGCGGACGAGGTCAGACGAAACCTCACGAGGTCAGACGAAAGGTGAAGAAGGTGGTCAGAAGCACCATTCCCCATTCCGGCGCTGCTTTCAAGGGAGAAAGATGGGGATTTTGTGAGAATTCAAAGTAGATGGATGGCACAACTCCCATCTAAACCGCCTTTTGGAGACTGTGCCATCTACTCTCAATCCACTTCTTTGGCAGTTTTTGAGGCTTGTGTAGGCCGAGCCTCCGGAGATGTCTCAAACAAAACACCAGAACTGGCAAGAGCGAGTCCGGGCTACTTTACTGATTCCAACTATACAACATAACATATGGTTAGAAGTTTTCAAGAAGAGGAGTTTTGCATGTGTAGGAACACCATCTGATCTCAAAACTCTGCCTCTAGCAAACATGTGAGTATGGTGGGGGAGGTGTGCATGGTCATCAACATGCCACGTAGCTCTTCTTGGATCACGCAGCACCTTCACGCTTCTGGAGGCCTTTTGGGACGAGGACAAAGAAGAGGCACAGGGGGTTTGAACAGGGGTTGGACAATGGCCTGGATGCGAGTTGCAAACAGCTGTTGTCTCCAAGCAGAAATGCTCATCATCCCTCCACTAGACAAAGCATCTTTCAACCCGGGCCGGATGCCCCTGTCATTTCGCCCTGTCACCTCATATTTGCAAGGCCCCAGACGCCAAACCGAGCCGTGGGCCAAGTCGTTCGGACGTTTGTAGGATCCGCGGAAGAACCTGCTGGTGCGTTGTGTGGCACGTCACCTGCCGCTCCACGACCGCTACACCGAGGCAGCCGACCGCGGCATGGGCGGGGTCTCACAGGCAGAAAAGCAGGAGGTCTGGGTTGAGTGGTGATTCTGCCACGAGGGTCAGGGCAGTATTTAGTATTTGAGGATATTTGAGGTGGTTGACTTGATAAATCTGCTTCTAAGGAATGGTTGCTTGGGGTTGGCCAAGTGGGCCCGCCCGGGTGACTTAGTGTGAATTCTCCTCGAAATCCATGGAGTTTTAGCCCCATGAAGTCGGACTATTGACGTCGATCAGAGGGTTTCTTCTGACCCCAAACAAGTGAGTTGACTTTCTGGGCACCAACCATCCCTCCAAGCAGCATCCTGTTGGAATCCCTGGGGTGGACCTGGATGTCCCTTCGCATGGCTTGAAACTTCCTCCTCAGGGAGCTGGTGGGAAGGCCCTTTTTGATGTTGGAATCAGAATCCCACTGGCTCTAAAGGGGGTTCAAAGTTCAAAGAAACACCAAAAAACAACAAACATGAACCAGGACCTTCAAAGTGACCTCTTTGGAGTCTCTAAGTGACCTTGTACAGACCTAAGCGACCATCAAAGGGTCACTTTGAAGGTCCTGGAACATGTTGTTCTGTTTTGTTTCATTTTCCCCTCACCCGGGAAGGGAACTCCACTGGGGGAACCCGGCAGGAGCCTATCTTCTTCCTCCACGTGGAGGAGTTGCCGCCTGCTGTGGAGCTGGCTCCCGTGGCCGTTCCCACCGGCGCTGCTGCGGGGCTTGGCCCAGCGCCGAAGGTGCTTGGGATGAGAAAGACCGAAGAATTGGAGCTGCCGCTGGGCGAGAGTTGGATGGTTTTTTTCTGGTCAGGTGGTCGTAAGGCCCAGGGCTGTTTGGTGGATCGCTCATGGGAATGGCTGATTCGATCCCGCTCTCGTGGTCACGGTTCAGTGGATGGTCACGGTCATGGGGGTTTTACACCCACCTACCCAATCCGCGGTCGGTGGGGTCGGTGGTTGGACCGGAAGTGGTTGGTCGGTGGCAAAGATGAAGAAAGCTTTGGGACATCTGGAAGCAACAACGTGAGTTTGCAAGAGACATGCTGGTGAAGCAAGAGTATACTTTCCTGAGACACTTTTAGAGAAATAGAGAGAGAGAGAGAGGTGAAGGCTGAACTCAATATATTTAATGCTAGACCCAACCTGCAAGTGATTCTTTTCGAGTGCCGAGTCGTTTCACTCCGAGCCAAGCTGTGCCCAACCATTGGAGTTGTAGTTGGGGCACGCGATTTTGCTGTGTACACCTTGGCTTGCCTTTCTTGTATTCTGTTGAAGACATCCTTTCGTAACGCAGAAGCTTTTTTTTTTTAAATAACTCCTATCACTTGGTAGCACAATCATTCTCCTTCCACAAGCTTTTCCGAGACCAATGGCCCAGGCGGATTTCCAAGTTGAAAGAAGGTCTTACTCACCTGTTGTTGAGCTATAGTTGCCTTCGCAACTTCGGAAAGGAGTGTAGGCCACGAGCCAGCTTGCCTGATGGGGAGTTCAAATCATGTAGCCCTGCAGACTGATGTTCAGCATGTCGGGCAAGACTACTTCAAAGTGACGTCTTCTCCAACCCTTGGGGTCCGTGACCCTCAGCAACCCATGTGCCAATGACTTCTTTCCAGGCCCCCCGGTCACCTGGGGAACATCTCCCAGTCACTTGCCAAGCTTCCTCTCACTGCCAGCCCACTCGGACCCTTCGGTCACCTTCGGTCCACCGCCACTCGCCACGCCGCAGCAACCGAGGCACGGGATGATGGACGTCGAAGACGCCTCGGCCCAGGCGGTCCAGCGGTGCGTCCGGTCCCTGGCAGTTTCCTCGGCCAAGGACGGTGTCGTTGGAGCTTTTTTGGGTCTCCAGAGGTTCCAGGATGGTCCAGGATGGTCCAGGTGTGGCTTCAATTGGGATGGCACCCTAGTTGCACAAGTTTGGTAGGTCCTGCGTCCTGTGCTATGACCCACTTAGTGAACAATCTGTAGCTGAAACTCTGCCCCCTGGAGGCTTCAAAGCTTAAAAGACTGAAAGCGCCTTGGCTGGAGGCAACCATTGAATGGGGAGAAGGGGTTAGAGGGACCGGGCATCCATTGGGAACAGGACGTCGTTGTCTCGGTTTGCCTTGCGCATGTTCCCAACAGCAGGCCTAGTGGCCTTGGATCCTGAAGTCAAGGATCAAACAATGCAGAGATCTTTGATCTTTGCGGTGACATCCTTCGGTGTTGCGGGCGATTTCCACTTCCAGCTGCACTCACCGAAGCAAAACAGCTTTTCAAGTGTTTTCATGGATGGCTACTGGGCCGCCGGATCATTTTGCATTTTGTATGTGTCTTTAGCTGAGGAGAATGTCTTTTGGTCACCAAACATGACCACCACCTAGATCCTGGGGTCACCCTAAAAACCGTCAAAAGGACACCTTGGATACATTGCTTGGGCCCCTCAAGTCTCAAGCATCTGCTAGTTAGTGGTCAAGGCGACGGCTGGCAGTCGGCAGCCAGTGGTCAGAGTTTTGGGACCCCTTGTTCTGTCATAGACCAGTTAGTGCCAAAAGCACTTGACCAGACCAGAGTGAGCAAATTCAGCGAACGGCCACTTCACATGAACCGAACGCCTGAGCAAATTCAACAACAGACCGGCACTACCTGGTAGGTCTAGCTCAAACCATGCAACATCAGAAGTCTTGTTTTTTTCAATCCCAACGACTCTTCCCTGACCACCACGCTCTAATCCGGCATCGGATTGGGGGGCGTACGAAGGCGTTACCAGCAAGACACCCCTCCAGGTGACACCGCTCTTCTTGGTCGTGCTCACCTTGGCGGTGATCGACGTGATCTTTGCCGTCGACAGCGTGCCGTCGACAGCGTTGGACGGACGGTGCCGTCGAGCGAAATGGCGGTTCCGATGGTTCCAAGAGGAGTCTTTTCTGGCTTGACGGATTCGGGTTTTGTAAGACACTGACGTGCGATGGTTTCTATCTCCAACGAGCCAGCCAGGATGGGTACAGAATCAGCTTCTTGAAGATTGGAACCACCAATCGGTGTCTTTTCCTCGCAAACCTCCTGGGTCCTCCACTTGGTGGGGCCGCCAACCCACATCTTTTGCCATAAATCGGTTCACCGAGCCGAGAGTGGCTTTTCCCATCCTGGCGATTTTCCGCCGTTTGAGCAGGGGGTTGGTCTCAACTTCGACCAAACAGTGGGAACCCAACATGTTCCAACAGTGGTACATACTACTAGGAGCATTCGACCCATCCCATTTGACTGGCCAAAGTAGAGAGGTATACCCCAGTGACTGGGTGAATTTCAAAGGGATGGCTTTACTCTTTTGGAAGGCCCGTTGTGACTGCCCAACTGGACGAACACGATAGGTTAGGGTGTGAAACACACTTTTCGCGACTGAACCCGAACTCTCTCGTCGGCTGTGCGCGTTGGTACTTTAGTGGAGTCAAGAGATCAACGGAGGCGCCCCTGAACGTATTGTGGTTCAGTCGCACATGCCCGAGTATTTTCCCTGCAAAACCTCCGTGGGTCTTCAGAAGACCCTTGGTTTCTGGTCCCACCTGGGTCACTCGCTCGTTCGACTCGGTGAAGGCTCTACCCGCCCTGCTCCGCCCCAACTGCTCCAGGTCACTGCCAAGGTCTCGTCGGTCCACAGCTTCGACCCTTCAGTGGCCTGGGGCAGTCGACGCGACGCGACGCGAACGCGACGCGGAGCCAAGTCTTGGACGGACTTGGGAGGGTGGCAGATGCATTCAGAATCTGCCCCAAGTGTGATCCGGTCTTGGACCGGGGGGGGGGGGTGGCAGGGGCACATTCTTCTTTCCCGCCCGGAGGGTAGACCACTGGATCAGCCTGGCGTCGGGTTTTCGGAGTTGGAGTGACTGCCCAAGGCACCAGGTAACCAAAAAGAATCCCCAAGTGGATCTCTGTGGTCGGTACCTGTGGTTACCTGTCAGAACAAGGCAACTTGTGCTACTACAACACACCTCGTTGTCCGCTTCTACCGGTGCCTGGTTTACTGGTGGCCCAAGTGTTTGTTCCTGATAGGTGATTTGGCTGTGTAGATTGTGTAGATAAAGACTACCGTGTTTAAATCCACGGTTTTCAGAAGATGCCATGCATGGCATCCGCTTCGCCACTGTACATTCGGCACACCTGCAGTGGCGAACAAAAAAGGGTTCGCCACCAAAGAGAATCTCCTCAACTCGCGAACCACTCGAGGTGAGTTTCTTCCTGAACCTCTCCTCATCGGCGTTTGCCATGTTTGTCCTGCGCAGCTTATATTTGGACACCCGGCGGTTCAGAAGCGGTGACCAGTTTTTCGTTCCTGTTTTCACGGGTGAAAACAAGGCTTCCATTTGACCATATATGAGGACCTGGTGGACCTGGTGAGGTAGTGTCATCAGTGGTGGTCGGAAGATGTTGGAAGCCTATAGGGATAATGCGGAAGCATGGTCCCACCAGCATGTCCAGCTCCCCAAACTGGCTGCCATGCGTCCCTTTCACGTTCACTCGCATCGTTCACGTTCATTCCCACCTGGAGAATGGGCCGTTTTCCGTTGGGTTCGGGTGACCCGCGCACCCTCGGGCTCCCACACGGAGCCCGGAGGACGCGTCCAACACCACCGTCCGCACGTTCAGAGCGGACCGGACCGCCACAGCCATGTAGGTGATCGTAGGTAGTTTTCGCTTAGTGGGAAACAGGGGTTACGGTCCTTAGTAGGAAACAACAGGAAACAAGTAAAACAGGCACAGTTTTCTTAAGCCCTGTGCATGAAGCTGCCATGTAGAAGGTCGATGCATTAACGACTCTTCAGAGAAAAGTGGATCTACCCTTCGTGAGCTTTTGTGCATCTCCAAAGCCCCTTCTACCCCTGTCCCCCAATGCAAAAAGGACCTTGTGGCACAAACAGATTGCCACGCCCTCGCAGGTCGGCCCTCGCAGGTCCCGCCACGGGGGGGGGGTCCCCGGCATTTGTCCGGTTCCGCCGGTTGAAATGGACCAGTTTAGGTCGTGGACCTGCTGACGCAATCCTTTCGCTTCCTCAAGCGCCCCGGTGGAGCGCGGGAGATGTGGGAGACAGGCATGGGGAGGGTTTCCCAGGCGGGAAACCGGCCATCCAAAGTCATATGTCCATTCGCCCGTGCAGATGTTTCACAGCGATGGGCAGGCCGAAACAATCATGGTTTACATCCTCCTACGGCTGTGGGTGTGGTCACTTCCTCCGGGACCGGACCTGATGGACCAAATCCTCCTCCACCTCACCAGTGCATGTGGGGGTCTCAATGTTAGAGAGGGAGAAGCTGTGGGCAGCAAGGAGCCAACACAGTGGTAACGCTGTGTACTGGTCCATGCTGCCTGTGGTCACGTCCCGGTTGGCATGTTTTCTTGGTGAATCCAACCGCCTCGGTGTTCGGTGTCAGAATCCACATGACGCCCTGCACCTTCCCACCACGTCCAGTGCCGCACTGCACCAACACGTGGTTTCTGTCCATACTTCTATTCTTGCTTCTGTCGTGAATCATGGACTTCTACAGGTTTTGATATACGCCCTGATTTTTCTTCCAGGCCAGACCAACGAGTAGAACTTCTACTCGTTTTGATCCAATGGCCGTAGCAGGTATGGTGTTGGAGTCGTTCTGGTCTTCATCGGCTTGAAACTGATCCTCTCTCATTGGGTTGAGGCAAGAAATTGGAGAATCAGGGCTGGGAAGGGCTGGGCTGCATTTTTGGAGGAAGATTTTGGGGAGAGGTTGGCCCAATCGATCTGATGTTGAGAGGAAAGGACTAGGTATGGCAAAGTCATTTTGATGATTTAGGCCTACCCAGCGGCCTAAGACGGCCGCTGACCCAAGTTTGTGGTGCAGTTTTCGGATTTCGGGTCACAGGAAAGCATCGGTGGATTTTCTCTGGCCTCGAGTCGCTTCTTTCCTTTGTAGAATCTAGGTCTTCCTTCTCATCTCCATCTTGCACTTCAAAGCGACCCAGTTGAAAGGATTTGAAAGGAACATCTGACGGCCGCGGGTTTTTATCGCTCTTTTGCAGCTTTGAGTACATCGAATCTAGCTTCAGCACCTGGACATCGTTCGATCATGGGTCGCCTGTGCATCGAGACGTCGAACAGCTTGACGATCGAGACGTCCAACCGTTCGTGGACTCCCGGAAGCCGTTCGTGGACCGAGAGATTTCAACACTTAGGATGAATCAGGAATGCGCAAGTACCAACAAAACGCCCCCCAAGAACACCCACATGGCTTTAAGGGTGTTTTGCTAGTGGGTATACAGAAAGGTTAACCCTTTAAACAATTATGAAAAAGACACACACACACACACATCCCAGCAAACCACCGCTGAGTTGCTCGATTGCAAGGTCAGCATGTCGCTCTCCTCGCTGCTGATAGTAAGCTTTTTGCCGCTCTGGCCTGTGTAAACGCTGTCCTGGAAAAGTAGGAGTTGCAATGACACAGGACCATCCACATGCAGGACACGATAACTACTTTGTTTTGATGCACACGGGGAACATCATGGGAAAGCATATGAAAGCATGGACAGCTGACAGCGGTTCCGGGTGTTGTTGGGATGCTGCCCAATTCTGTCCCACGTTTTGTCCGCTTGCCACAAGTTAAGGATCTGCTCGATTGTGGTTTCATATTTGCCCTGCTGCAAAGATGGTGGGGAGAAGGAGGACTGAGGGGATGATTGTGTTTGGGATCTGCAAAACACCATCCGTGCGGCAAACACGGTCTTTTTGTGCGTCAGTTTGGGCATCGAATCGTTCCAGTCTGGGCGCGCAGGACACTTCTGCCAGAGATGTCCAGCTTGATGATGCTCCCAGCCATGCAATTATGTTCGTCGGTCTGTCAACATTCACGACTGCCCCAGTGAGAAAACATCGGTTGGACCCGTCTACGAACTGGTTCACCAAGCCATGTGAGGCTGGACCCCAAATTTCAAAGGTGGTGGTCTTTAGAAAAAAGAACCACGTGACGGACATCAAGGGGTACCACCATCACCATCCATCCCATATATAAGGTTAGCTGAAAGAAGTCTTCACACATTCGCGGTTTTTGCCCAGTCAATTTTTCATATGTTTTCACGGGTGCCGGGTCTTACTTGTGCTCACCGGTGCGTTGTCCATTTGTCTCACCAAGATTGACGACGATGTCTTTGTCATTGGTGAAACCGAGCCACTTGGCTTCCAAAATCACTCACCGAATTAGACGACTGAACGGAAGAGCACGGGAGGACCAGAGGTCAACCAGAGGTCAATCGGGACACCTCCACCTCCGATCGCAGCCGAGGACGCCTGGTGGCATTTGAACCGCCATGGCAGCTGCGAACAAACGAAAAGACCTGCGCTGACGGAGTAGCCTTGGACAGAGGTGGCAGAAGGCTTTTGGCCACTGCGCTGGGTAGATGCGAAAAGATGGCGGCGCTGGGTAGATGAGTGACTGGGGGCCTGAGTACGCCTAAATAGTCGTGGAGCTTCATACCGCTTCGTTCCTAACCTATCAACCCGGATGCTGTGAGCTCAAAGTATCTTAAAAACTACCGTTGGTGTTTACCAGGTTGTATCACAACTATAGTATAGGAGAAAGGAACCTCACGTTCCGCATGGATGTTGCCCGAAAGGACGGGCTCGTGGACATCGGCACCCAGTGCACCGCTCGGCCGTTCCTTTCCACACGCAACGTTTGAACGTCAGCGGCACGAGGAGCTGCAACTACCAATGGACGGAGTGCGCGCAATTCTGCTTGTGACTGCCTTAGACCGGCGATCAGTGCGCTGCAGGAAAAGAGAGACAGACCTTATTGACAGTTCTTGGTGAATTCTCACAGGGTTCTTCTCTGGGTTTGCGAAGCTCTGAGGTTCATGGCCGGTCTTTGATCCAAAGTGTGCAAACTGGTTTCCTTGTGTCAAGCCTTCCCTCCATCGTCGATCGACCGGACGCAGCGGTGCCTCGCTCGCCGTAGCGTCTGTTTCGACTCGCCGTGCCTCGCCGGACTCGCCGTGCCTCGCCGGTATGGTGCCCTGGTCCTTTGAGGCAGTTCCTGGTCTTGCTCGCTGCCCTTCGGCGCTCCTTTTTCCAGAAGGCGAGGTTCCACCGGACGTCCGGAGATCTATCGGTGTCCACCTCGGATCGCCGAGCGGAGGAAGCGGAGAAGCGATCATCCCACCTTGCGAGGTCCGGACTTCTCGATGGCGCACTGTGAACTGACAGGGCCATCCAACGATTCCGATGGCCCCGAACGGGCGCCGAAGCCGCCCAGGAGGGGGGCTTTTGGGGGTCACCCCCCGCCACCGCGCGTTTTGGTGGGTCCCACGGTGTGGACAGTCCGATAGCCGAGACGTGGCGAGAGAGGAACCTCGCGTGAAGATGTTTGAAGTTGTTCATGGCTTACTGGCATGTTTCAACATTCAACTCAGGATACTGCGTGTGTCGTGGGCATTTGTGCCCCCTTTTGGTTGGAACCTTCACAAATGCAGGAAGAGGACCGGACGCGGCTGCTGGCGAGCATGATGCAGGCACTTGCGGCAGATGTCGCATGCCACGATGTGATTACTGTAATCCATTTAGCAGAGGGTCACATGAGACTTATCTATGTTATATACCTATACATATATGTATTTTGTTTGTTTAGGTCTAGGCGGAAGGAAGATGAGGAGCATTCCTTTGTGCTGTTCTTTGGAATGCGACGTCGAACTTGCTCTCATTTGCTGCCATGGCGCCTGGCTGAGGGTTTCTTTTGCTCGTCGAAAACGAAGGACCCAGGGCAAGCCGGGCAAGTCAACACTGAAAATCATCTCGGACATCATATGAAACCTCTCCCTAGCCTTCCAAGACCAACAATGGTTGACCGTACGTTTTCCTCTAGTAAAGCAAACGTGCACGCCAGGGGACCACTGCGATCCTGGCTTCCAAGATGGGACTGCAGGCCGCGGCAGATGACCTGGGGCCCGTCGGCTCGAGGGCGAGCTCGTCTCCTGCACCGAAGCGGAAGGTTCCAGCCTTTCAACAGTGACGTTCCGTCATGGTCTCTTGGAGGTGGTACCACCGGAACCATGACCACACCAAACGGAACCATGACCACACCACCATGACCGGACCAGTGTGGCAAGAGAACCGTGTCCAAACAAGTGCATTGAATGGATATCCGAGCCACATGCACTTTCGTCCAAACTGTTGGAGAAGTCCAAATCCAGGACCAACACCTGCGTGTTCTTTCTTGTTCGATCTGTGGCAATGATGTGGTTCCAGCCCTTTGTTCGAGTTCTCCTCATGGGTCGTAACCAGCCATGGAGGCTGCAAACCGGGGTACCATAACGCTTTGGTGGTTTCCTGGACCTCTAGGGGTGAGTATTTGGAGAGAAAACGGCTGAATCTGAATGCCAAGCATTTTGGACATGCGCGTTTGGCTCGTGCGGTGGGCTTTAAAGACGAATCCTAAAAAGCACTGGACCATCCCTTTGATGCCAAGATCGGTGCCTTTCGCCAAAACCAAGGGGGTGAGAATGCCGCCCGGCCGGAAGGGGCGAGAGTCAGAGTCCAGCTGCACTCAAAGCCAATCTGGGGCGACTATCCTCAATGTTTGTACGTGTGTGGGCAAACGATCTCAAACTGACCTGGAAGCTTCCTCCCAGAGAGTAGTGATCCATCGAATTGCAGAATGGACACGGAATGGATGCCATGTTCCATCCGCGAGTGAATGGACAGAAGGGAGGATATTCACTTTGCTCCGGGTGGCTTGCAGGATCATGGTTGCTACCATGAGCTTTGCCGCTTGCTGGGCAAGATCAATGTGCTCCTGGCCTGGTTGGTTTTATATCGTTGGGTCTCAATGTCTCAACCAACAAGGGCCTACTGCAAGCGAGCAAGACCTTGATTGACACCCCAAAAAGCTAGAGAATCAGGGGTCAAATGACCAAGTGCCAAAGTATCCATACACACAGGAAAGTTGTGTTGCAAGGCAGTGGAAGCCAAGGTTTGGCTTGAGGCTGCACTGGCGCAAGCCAAGCCATGGCATAAGGTACACCGCGGCTGCGGAAGAAGCTTGTACAGTAAGTGGAGAAGTAAATATATATACACATGCTTGGTGCAGGGCCTAAGCCAAGAATTGTACATAGTCAGAGATCCTTACCTGGGACTTCCTTCATCAGCAAAAGGTGATACAGTGATACAATAGAACCTTAGGTGGCTGCGCCCAAATCGTTTTGGTCGTTGAGAGGCACTTTGCCACAGTTCGTTCGAGTGGTGTTCCAACTCCATGTTGTGACGAGCGCAGTTTGCTGGGTTGACCGTATAGTACAGTATACCTACCTTCATCTTCCAACTATGCAAATGTTTGCCTTTTCATCTATCAAACCACCCCGAAGACAGACCTTTTTGGTGTCATTGATGTAATCATCAACCCTTGTTAGGTCTGATGCAGCAATGTAACACCACGCACCACTCTCCGAACAACCGGTCGGTGGAAGGGTTAATGACATGGTCCAGGAATTGACATGGTCACGGGTGATCCCAAGACGCCGATGGGGGGCGTCTTGCTGGTTGGTCCATGTTGATATGACTTTAATTCTATCTATTTCTTGTTTCTAATAGCTTCTTGTTACTACTATAGTAAGGCACTTGTTCCTAGTAGCGATGCACTTGTTCCGTTCGTAGCGAACATGGTTTCTAATAGCAAACCTGGCTCGTCGCTCCGGCCAGCTTCCCCCCTCCACCCCCTCCGATCGGACTCTCGGACTCCGCTCGCCAGGCCACGCATCAGCTCAACGAGCTTTGCGCCAACGAGCAGTGGCTCGGCCGTCCGCAACGGGCGTCCGGTGGCACCGAAGACGCGAAGGGTGGGGGTTGACCTGGTGAACACGACCGTCCGTTCGCAGCGGGTCGGGGATGGGGATGGGGGTCGGGGCGGACATGAGACGACTGGCCGGTTCGGGCTGGATGTATGAGACCGTCCATGCAGTGAATGTCGCAGGTGTCTCTTTTGCGATATGTTGCGCAGTCGATTCTGCTCGAGGATTGGCCGTGAGTGATGCACCATCATAGATGAACACAGTCGGTCGGGGGGTCGGGGCATTTCAGCAGGGTCACCCCATGTCACCCTATAGTGAAGGCTCAAGACTTGAGTGATGGAGGGTTCTTCCCCACACTACCCGGCCCCCCCAACCCCCCCCAAGCAACTTCTTGGATGGATGATCAAGCGATGGAACCCACCCGTCCGAAGTCGTCACAGAACAGAGGATCAGATCGGAACCATGTGGTCGCGGGATCGGTTCGTCATCTGGGTCCGTTTTTGGGTTTTGGTGACCCCCTCAGATGGTCCTTTATGGCGGGGTGGCTGAGGGGTCACGTGCTTTCACCAAGCTTCCCAGCTGAGTCATTGGGCATTTCTCGGTCTGAGAAGCCTGGGGATCGATGAGGTTCCAGGCATGGATCGAGCAAGTCTATGGCTTTACCATGGACAGCCTGAGGACGTCGGGCTTCCGGGGTGTGGACCGATGCGATGCCAGGTTCAGGTTCTCTTCCATTTTGGGTGTGTGAGATCACCGAATTGGAACCTCTTCAGAGGATCCATTAGAAATCTCACGCCATCGCGCCCGACACCAGCGCAGGGCCCTAAACGATGGCGGCGCCGCAGGGCCTATGGTCTGCGGTGTCGCGCGTTCGCAGCGACGTCGCTCGTCGTCTTCGGATCGCGGGGTGCGAACAGCAGGAGATGGGAAGTCATGCCCAACAGCAAGCATTACTTGCTGGGCTTCTGGGCGGCCATGGTGAGCCCCGTGATCCTCCTGCAGGACGGGGACGGAGCCCGAGCGAGATCGGTTTTTGGAGCGGTTGGAGGACTTGAGCTCGTTGGCGGGTTCCATGGAGCGGGTTAGGTGGGATGTTTCACCTGGCCGGTGTGCTGGTGCTGGGGCTGGTGCAAGAAGGGGGTGCGTGTTGCATCTCTGAGGTTGCTTGGCATGTCATGTTATAAAATGTTACAAAGGAAAGCTTTTCTTGGCATGGTGGTGGTTTTGCTATGCTTGACAGATGTTTTGCACCTTTTCCAGTACAATAAGTCAACCACCTTGATTTTTCCAAAGTCCAAGAACTTCTAGAGGTTCGTTCTCATGGCCAACCACAGGGGTCACAGCCCTGTCCACTTGCTGAAGCGTCCAACTACCCTCAGCTTCGTTGACAACGCGGCATCGCGCGCTCGAGCTGTCTGGGGACCCGGACAGCCAGGATAAGGCACCCAAAGCCTTGGAAAGCTTCATCCAGCAGGCTCTTGCATGTAACACAGATCGACCTGGTCGGCTGGCAGCACCTGGAAGCACCTCGAAGAGGGAGATAGATGGTGCTTCCAGGTAGGGCCTGGTCATTTTTGTTTGGGCAGCCCCTCACCTGGCTCATTGTTGGGGGGTGAAGAGACACCGAAAAAGATTGCAAGCCAGAAACCTGAGGGTCTTGGCCTTGCGGTTGACTTGGTTCTTTTCAGGGTCTCGGCCTTGCGAGACCACACACATGTGAAACGGGTGCGGCTGTGGTGCAACTAAGCAGAGATGGAGGATTTTCACTCGCTTCCTGAGTGGTTCTGCGTTTTGTTTGTTATTCCCAACAACAGTCTACTACGTGTATTTCTTTCCGAGCTTCTTTCGTTTCGCAGCAGCTTCCTGGCTCCAGCAGATCCAACGAGTTTTTCGCGCGGTTTTAGCCATCACGTCATGCCATCACTTCATGAGCTGGTAACTCGACGTTTTCACCCCCATTCCTAGGGCGTGCGGGTGGATACACACAATCGGAAGACCTACGGAGTTTGTGGACCAGAAGTCTCTGTGACCCTGAATTCCAGGCCCTGTCTGTCTGTCTGTCTTGAAGTGACCGATCTTCTCCTGAAAATGTCAAGGACGGTCACGAACGGCTCAAACGTCCTGGTGGTTGTGACAAGAACATTGAAGCACTCAGTGTTCTGTTGTATCGCATGCTGAGCATGATCTAATTGAACACATCCATGCAAATCTGTGTGTCCAGTGATGTCTTCGCCACACGATGTGCCATGGGTCAAGAGACGTGGCTCTCGAACTGGTCTCAAGGTGCGATCCGCCTGCTCCACCGGTGGATGCGGGTGGTACTGCGGGTCAAGGAACGATGCCTGTGCTTCCTCCGCCGAGAAAGCACACTGGGCAAATTAGCTGTACAGTTTACATATGATCATGAGATATGTTCATGTGAAGGAGATGTTCACCATGATTGCTCGTGCACGTTTTATAGATACTCGAAATTCATCGATGATACCCGCTGTTCTTCCTCCAATGGAACCAGCTTCGACTGACTTCACACCTGGGAAATCTGACACCACCGATGACGCGATGGGCAAGCAAAGGCATCCCAAGCTTGGGGTCATTTTCGTCTAGAAACGACGCCCCAAAAATACGAGACACGTCCTGCAGCTCCTACGGAAGAACAACCGACACCCGCAGCGTCCGCAGCTCTTCGCCCGCAGCGCCCCGCAGCTCTTGGCCCGCAGCGCAGCTTGCGGCTCAGTTTCCCCTCCCACGCGCCGCGTGGGCGTGGGCTGGAGAGCTGTGTCGCACGCATGGCACGTGTGCTTCGCACCGTGGCCCGTGTCAGCGTGGCGCTCGTGCTCCTCGACGCGACGGAGGTGAAGGACCTGCAACGGGCGAGGAGGAAGATCCCTGGAGCCGCATACAAAGGACACGACCAGGCAGGGAGACATCACGCGATGGACGACCAGGGAGACATGGCGCGAGGTCTCAGAATGGGTCAGACGTGAAGACCAACACGCGATGTCTCCACGGATTCCGGAGAGTGGATTCCAACCCTATAGGGACGAAATGGACTTATTCGGGAAGGGAAGAACGAACAACCACATGGACCGCATGTCAAACTTCCGTCCGTTGGACGTTTTCGTCTTATTTCGTCTTCACCCGCCCCCCCCCCAGGCACTTAGGGGTGCTTCTCGGGAAAGGCGCTCAAACACCCGTCGCCGGCGCGAGACGGATCCTCACTGAATCGACCGCTTAACCCCGCGCAGGTGTCGATGAGCCAAAAGCTCAACGAGCACCTGAAGAATGCGGAGGGTGGAACGCTGCCATGTGAGAACTGGTCCCTGGAAGGCGCAGCTTGGATGCGACGCCCGCGGGCTGGGGCCGCCATTCTAGGTCTGACCATTCTGGCCACTTCGATCAGTGTTAGCATGGCTGTCCCGTGGAATTCTTTGAGTTGCCTATCTCACCAAAACGTGTACAACATGCCAACAGTTGCCACGAAACACCCTCCGTCTCATGCAAATAAAGCGTTGGGCTCATGCCAAAGTCTCTTCCGTCCGTTGAAGCAGCGGAGGGCTACAGAACTTCATGGCCACAGTGGCAGAACACCGGTCGACCGAGCTGCAGCTGATCTACCGCAGCAGTTTGGATCGGCGGACCCTGCGACAGGAGTCCCTCGAGGCGTTGGGACGGCATGGTGGAGGTTGTTGGAGGTTGTATTGCTCACTATAGCTCTATTTAGCTTCACTCTTTGGTGATTGGTGGCTCGGTTTGTTGGCGTAACTCTTCTTCTGGTACAAGCAGGCAGGGTGCGGTGCCGGGCTCCACAGGGCCCGGCCCTGTGGACTTTTTTTCAGGATTTCCGGAGCCAGTGGAAGGAGCTGAATCGGATCGTCTCAGAGCATCCACACTTGCATCTGCCACAGAAGGAGCTGCGACATGTGGGTGGAATCTTTCACGATGGGGTGTGAAAGGTGGGTTTGCAGGGGGAAGGTAATTACTGGAAGAGGAAGATGATCTTCCAAATCCACTTGTGCGTTGCTTGAATTGAAGAAGATATGAGATCAGTTTTAGTCACATCCGACTTCGATTTCCTCCGCCGTGAGGTCTCACCCCCCGCAGAATCGTTGGAGTTTGCAGTTGACGTTCCACCCTAATATCATCTACCCATCATCCCTTCTCCGAAACGAATCATGTATTGAATATCATCATCAAAAGAACTACCCGAAACATGAAGCTTGACATACCCGAAAAACACCCTGAGACATCCGAGGTTACACCCCAAGACATCCGATCGTAGCTCGCCGGACCCCTTTTGGGATTTCTTTGGTTGGCAAAGGGAACCGATCGTTGCTCGGTTGTGGCTCGGCAGAACCGATCTCACGCGAGGTCCTCGGTAGTCGGTGTCGGCGGCCGCGAGTCGTTGGTATCAGGAGGCCCATTGCCGGGAGGCTGTGATGTGGTGGGTGCATCACTTGGCCGAAGAGAAGCGCCAGGAGTTCCGGAGGCAGAACCTCACGGTGGCTTGGGCTGACTGGCGCTGTAGACTGGAGCTTGGCTGGGAGCTCTTTCGGACCACGGAAGATGGAGAAGATCGGATTTCATTGTTTTTTGAAGCTTTTTGATTGGGACGTGGAGATTTGGAGGGGTTTTCGTCGCTTCGACGCTGGGACGTTGGTTCTGACTCAAAAGTAAGAGTAGATGTTGAGCTGACAAGAGAATCCGGCAGCTGGGCGCCAGTACAACAAAGAACAGTTAAACATTTTACATTCCACGGTTGGGTGCTTTCTCCAACGAAGATTACTAAGCCTTGAGGTATCTTGAGGTAGTTGCACCCTACAGTTTCTCCTATCTATTTGGTTGAACTGATGATGCTTTGGGTGTCACAAACCTGATCGAAAGCAAGAGGATTTATTCTATCAGGAATCACCCAGTTTTGTTTGTCGATTGAGCACCTCTACCCACTCTATCTGGTTGGACAACCACAAATAGCAACCCTCATTAAATGGACAGAGAGTCCCTTTTTGGGTCTTTCTGGCGTGTTTTTTGTGCTGTAAGTGGCAACGATACATACACACAATCTGAGCATTTTCCTGGAGAGAAACCAGGGTTCCTTCTGGCAATTCATATCGGGTATATCACAGGCTTATACTGCCAAGCAAAATTCTTCGTGATGCCGAAGGCTTTGGCAGCGTACAAAAGCATGTCGATTCTGTCAAAGGCTTCGGCACGAAATTGGGTTCTCTCGGCTCCTGGCAAAAGACTCATAACCTGAGGCTCGAGACGGCTCAAGGCTATAACGTGTGAATAAACAGAGGCCTGTTGATGAAGAAAGATCGAGGTCTCGAGGCCTCAACTGAAGAGGCCTTGTGTGGTCAGTTCCGGCCCCGGAAGTGGTAGAAACATGCAGCAACAAGAGAAGAAACACAAGGACCACAAAGGCCACAGCGTTTCAAGCAGCTTGTACAGAGCTGCATCTTGGAAATGCATGCCAAGACCCCCTTTTCGGGGCTTCTATTGATCGCTCCTTAGAGGTGATTTGGGGTGTCCATTAACCACCCCTGTCGTGGGTCCTGGTGGAAGACTCCTCAAAGGACCGATCCCCACAAACGCCGATCCGAGATGATGAGTCAGATGAGTCGGTGGCGGACCTTTTTGTGTCAAAAGGAGTCGAAGATAGTCGAAGCATCTTTGAACCTTTGAACATTCCGGAATTCCTCATTCTACGCAAGTTTTTTTGAATTTTTTCGCGGCCGCAGGCCCAACGTCCTTGGCGCGTCAACAAAGGAAAGAGGAAAGAAACCCCGGGTGGGTGGTCAACAGACATGTTGTATAGATCACGTCGACCCCAGGGCCTTCTTCATGACCGTCTTTGACGATTGCCAAATTTCGGTATGGCCCGGGTTCTTCGGCAGGGAAGGCTTTAGAAGGCATGTAGAGATTTGTGTTGGGGATCAACCATGTACCTCCACGTGTTCATGATGTTCATAACAACTACCCACAAGGTCGTCGAACACTCCCAAATGGATGTCCTGTTTGTCACATTTAGTCCATTGGGCTCTTGGCCGGCGCCGCACCAAAGACTTTCTAGGAGTCAAACCAAGGTGCCATTGCTGCCTGAGGGCCCCAAAAGAAGCTGCGACCCTGGACTGCGACAGCTGGACAGCGATGGGGGGGAAACGACGGCAGCGACCATGCTGTGTGCCAAGGTGGGGGTCGTTTGGAACTGACTGGTGCTACGACGGGAATCAGGCTGGCTGCCCCCCCCACTAGAGATCCCTTGATTGAGGGATCCATTCCCTCGTTCTCGTTTGGAGCCGCAGCAGTCAGTTTGGTTGGGTGTTCTGCGCCCAACGAGATATGGTGGTTGACTCCTCCTCGAACTCAGACCGCGCCCAGAAGCCCCGCGCCCAGAAGCCCAACGGGCGCGGTCTCGGGAAGGCGGGAAGCACTGCACCTTTGTGGCCAGGTGAATGAGGCCAACTCCTGTGATTGGTGTCACTCCACTCAGGCGGGCGGACGGCACCGTGACAGAGTGAATGGGCCACTGGGTGTTGGGCACGGGAGTATCGTGTTGGGGGTTGGGAGTCACATTAATCACCGGTGGTGAGAGGTCAAACCCAGAAAGGGTTGGCAGTTTTGGACCAATCGACCCTCCAAAATGCTATAGTGAAGTGGATACTATAGGTGTTGTCTGGATCACAAGTTGAACTTCAACCGTGTCTTTGGGAGCCAACATCCTATCTTGATAGGTCGCTTTTAGAAAGGCCTCCCGCGCAGTGCGTGTTCATGCTTTTTCTGAACAGAAACTCAATTGTAGGATTTGCCGTGCAGGTGAAAGGAACAAATGTATCCCCACTGGAATTTCCTCTAGGAAATGGGTAGGGTTCAACCCCTCCTTGAAATCCTATTAGGGATACAAATGTTCGGAAGTCTTGTTTACAGGAAGGTCGGAAGGCTGGTCGACGACAACATGGTGTCGACGATCACGTCTCTAGCGAGCACGAACGCTGGGTTGGAAGTCGTCTGGTCTTGTAGAAAGTTGTTTGGATGCTGTGTTTCCATGCGGGTTAGATGCAAGATGGCCATACAACTGGACAAGGAGTTTTGGAGTCTCAGTACTGCTCCAGTTCTTGTTTTCGTGGGAACTGGTCTTTCATAATTGTTGGATTCCACGCTGGTTTGTGTCTCATGCAGGAGCAACCTGAAGATGTTCTCGAGTCTGTCGTGGTTGCAAGTCACTGTAGGATCAGATGGTCCAAGTCACGCTCTGTCGTGGTATGCCTGAAGCAGCCAGGTCAGTGAAGGCTCCAGATTGGACACTTCTTGGGTTTCGCGAAGACTGGTCCAAAGAACCTGTTTATAGATGAAACCTTAAGGCTTTAAGGAATCCCATCAAGTTTCTCAAAGGACCAGTACTGCAATTTGAAGAACTTGATTCCCTTCTATATGCCTCCGGTTCCCCCTCCTTTCATTTCTGAGCTTCGAGGATCGGTTTGTAAAGGCTTCGCGCCGCGCGTACCTCACGGCGCACCTCTGCGGAGAACGAACGGCACAGAACTGCATCGACGACAGGCAGATCATGACAAGAAGCTCCCTGGCACTTTGCCGCCTGACGCGCTGAAGACACATGGCACGGCACGTGAGCGCTGGCACCGCGCGTCAGTCAGCGCCAAGAGCGAACGCGTGGGCCACGTTTTCGGCGCAAAGGTGTGGTTGAAATGGGAACAGCATCAGAGTTTTTGTGAGAAAGAAGAACTGGGTGGGATGCTCCAACATCCTAAACAATCAGTCCAAACAATCTGATCCTGTGGGGATGATTTCTGATAAGACACCTGGAATGATGCTGGCTTGTAGCCCACATTGGCCGTCCCATCCGTGTCGCACCCACGCGTTCGCCGTCAGGAAGACCATTGGGCCGGACGATGGGAACCCACAGGGCTGGAACCGCACGCGCCGCTGCGACCAAGATCAGCTGCCACGATGCCAACTCTGCGAGGCCCACGGGCGGTCAGCGTGGCGTGGCGTGGCGTGGGCCACGCTGGGTGCCTGGGCCACACCGTGGTCGGCGCAGCTCGGGCCGAGCCGGGGAAGATGCGAAGGGTGAGAGGGCTTCAGGCGTGCATGGAAGAAGGAAGAAGCTCCATTGAGGATTATTGAGGGCTTATGCGTTTTTTTTTGCGGTATACGGATACTGTATAGTTATACTACTCTTAGCTCCGGGGAGATTGACATGGAATCCGAAGCAGTATCCCATTTGCAAAAGGCTCCTTTACAAGCCGTGGGTTTCGCGTTACTTTCAATGTCGGCTCAAGTTGTTTTGCGTCATGCCATGCAACAAAACTCTTCACTGCATATCACTGCATCTGTTCAACATCAGTTCTTATGTTGACATGATGCAGTTGCAGCATTCTTGTCGGGTCCGTCCGGCCGTTTTGGGGTCCCCTTTCGGCTTCCCCCAAAGGAAACACCACCCACACCCGTGCCCATGTCGTCCTGCTTTCCTACTTTTCTCCATGTCATTTGTTGAGGCGGTTCTTTCAGTGAAATCAATGTAGGCATATCTTACATCGATGACGACACACTCCGTTGGGGCTAGGCTCCACACTCCGACAGGACCGCCCTGGGACCGCGATGCTTCTCATCCACGCGATCGATCTTGGCAGGGCGTGGGCGGGATGGCCTTTGGCGATCGCAACGAGGAGATCGTCCTCACGTGCCTGGGAGTGGCGGACACCGCCCAGTCGTGCGGTGAGGGGGGTCGGGCTGGGAGATGGGTTCGAAGTATTGGAAGATGTAGAATGAAGATGTTAAGGTCAACAGGGTAAGACTGCTTAGGGTTATAAATAGTTTGAGGTAGGCTTAGTTTGGTATGTCACCGAAGCTTTTGAGTGGGGGGAAGATAGGTGGGGCTTGCCAAGCAACCGCAACAAGTGCAAAGTCCAGATCGCGGTATACTACGATATTTCGTTCGGTAGCAGAGAGAGAGAGACATCCTCTTCCCCACTTTTCATTTCGATCAGTTTCCTTAATATATAAACAACATACTTGTGAAACACAAACAACCCACCACTACGGGGTATACTGAATGGCAACAAGCTAAGCCCAAGACTCAGCCCAAGACCACTGAAGCCGATGTACTCCTTATTAGGATATTGACAGAGTATCGTTGCGGAGGGTCACTGTCACCCCAGACAAAGCTTGTTGGTTCGGCGGTTTTTGTGAATGTTCGTTTAGACTGCTGAACGTATTTCCAGGGTTCCAGCATTTTTCTTGCGACAAAGCTCAAATCAGAAAGAGTCTTCTAGCTCAATGGTTCTTCACTCAAGGTATGTCTATCAGCCATTGTGATTGTGGATATATACAATTAATTATACAAGTGAATAGATCAGTGATTGGATCAACACTAAGATGGGGTCTCTACTACTTGCCCGGCCGAAGGAAGTAGGATGAAAAGGGACGAAAGGGGAGTGTTGGGTCCAAGTAATTGGCCGCAAGGAGAACAGCTTGGGTCTGTCCGAACTTACATGTAACAGTTGGTTTTTTTGAATCACTACTTTAGAGAAAGGCCTCTATGCTTACTAACGACTACTAACGATCATCATCCACTGTTACTGTTAATGGGATAGAGCCAAAGTTCTAGCACAGCATGTGCTCCCAAGAACTTCACGATGTGCTCCTTTTGTTTCAGGTTCACATGCGATTGTCGCCCCTTTTGCATTCGATGGTTTTCCCCAAAAACCGTCTTCGGTTTGTCTATCCTCGCTTAGGCCCTGCGAGGTCGTGGCCAATGCCAGTGAGGTGGATCCCCAGACGGTGGCGCTCCTCGCTCGCGCTTGCGGAGCCGTCGCCCCCGCGAAGCAAGAGCAAAGCGAACACGCCGAGACGGTGGACGGTGGTTGTTTCTTGGTCTTTTTCCAGGTATAGTGGGATGTTGGAAAAGAACTATAGTTTCGGGTAGAAACACCTCAGTTTTCCACCGTGTTGTAGTTTGACCAAATAGACAGGACGACATTTTGAGGATCCAAACATTTAAGTATGCAAACGTAGTGCCTCGGACGGCACTGCCATCGAACTATCAAGTGCAGTCGACATGACAAGAAACACTGTCGTATCTATTTTGGGAGCACGATGCTTTTTTGGACGTCGTATGACGTATCGTGCGTTTGGTATTATTTGTCTTGACTTGTCCGTGGCAATAATGCCTTGAGTGTGGGTCCAATTCTTGGGCTCTCCAGAATCTATACCAACCCTGGTTGCAGATAGAGACCCGAACTGCTGACCATATTTACAAGCCACAAACCATCTACAACTCTTGACTCGAGTTCTAGCAGTCGCTGCACAATGGTATCATAAGTACAAACAACATGTCACCTTCACGTGGATGTGCGTCGCGTTAGCAAACTTGTGCTCGTGCGTACGTTGACATCTGGCGAATGAGAACACCTGTCAGGAAGCCCTCATTATACCCCGTGTACCTGAGAGCACCTGTACCATTCGCACAAGGAAACCCTCATTCGACAGGTGCTCTCATCTTGTGCCCTGTCAGGAAGCCCTTGTACCCGAAGCAGTTCACTATCAGGCGCAAGGATGGCAAACAGGGTGGCTATTCCGACACCCTGATCGGAGCTTTGGCAGGATGGCAGGGACATCGAGATACATCGAGTGTGGAAACGGAACATGGGGCCGGTGTTCTTGTTATGGTCAAAGGTGTTGGAGCGATAGACCCCGAAAGTGGTCATTCTGTTTATAAAATCGATTGGACGTGTACCATTACATACTTTCAATCCACACCTCTGACTTCGGAGTAGTGGGCTGCAAGTGAAAAGCCTTCGAGGTTGTGCACCGATTTCCAGTGCCCCGAAGAAATGGATGGGCGTGTCGATGTCCAGTGCCCGGTCGATCTCAAGAGCACAAGTTGAGACCGATTCTGTTTCAGAGTGTTCACCTATAGCTGGCTACAGGTTAGAGAGAGATCGCCAGACATAGCCAACAAAACACCTGTATGGAGGATTGAACCCGTTTTAGAGTATCGATGTCCAGGTTCCCTGTCGTCGACACCATAATTCTTGTAAACCTGGCAGTCCTCGCTTGTCCTCGCTGCGCCAGACTCAGGATGGAAGACCGATCCCTTCTGCTTTGGCTTTTTTCCGCAGAACGACTCCACGCTCCTTGGCCCCGCGTGTTTTTTCAACGCGGTGATGTGGGCGCCAAGCATGACGCCGACCTAAACAAGACGACAACATTGGGCCGACCTTGGTTTCGATGGGTCATTTATTGAATGGGTTTGGAGTCTACTGGGGATTTGTGCCACTTCCAGATTCCATGGACGTCCATGAGCTAGGCACTGCATGGACTGTCATGTTCTCTAACAAAACAACTCGCTTCAATCCTGATACATTCGTATCCAAATGTCTCAAAGCAAACCGACATGGATCACTTTCCGAATCTTGTGGATGCTTCTTGGCCGAGACTTGGATCCCGATTCACAGACTTGCAGAGCAAGTATGAGCAAGTAGTGCTTCTACAGAAGCCACACCTGTTCCGGTCATGGCAGCTTTTCTAAGGAAACCTATGTGCTACCGCAGTGAGGACTGACCGCAGGGAAGGCCGCATGCTGTTCCAAACAAGACCTACCCGCTGGCTAGGTTTCATTACCTGACTCCCAAGAAGTTGTTCGTTGATCATCTGACGTTCTTTCGGGAGGAGTTGATTCCGACCAACGTTCTTGGTGGCCGAGAACAGTGTGATCCCCCACTGGTAGGTACTCAAGAAGAGAGTTTTGTTTGGTATTTCCTTTGAAACAACGGTGGTTGGGGTGATCTTCCCCAATGGGGCACATATCTAGATAGAGAGGTGAGGCCTGGTTTCAAGAAGTTGGATATGTTCTTTCTACTGTATCTATTTCTGCTTTGGTCCACACACACACATGCACCGAATGGGTTCCCCGGGCTGACGAGGAGTCCATTAGGGTATGGCGACTGCATCAGGTTTTCCTCACAGGCTAAACACCAGCCCCCCGAGCAGGGTGAACATGTCCCTCCAAAGAAGTTTCTCCCTAAATGGAACGCTGTAAATCAGTGAACTTGTTTCAGAACAGGCGAAAAGAACCACGGATAAAACCTTGCCAAGCTTACTGCCAGCAGAGAAGACATGGGTGTCGAATCCTGCCTACCCCAGGACGCCCTAGTGAAGTACTACGACATCGAGCGGGAGGCACAACGTGCAGATTATACCATCCACAATGGCGGGCTGCCGGGGGCCCCAGGATTTGGCGGGAGGTGACCAAGCTGGACCTGGCATCGTCCCCTTCCTTCCAGATTTGTTTAATCTAATTACACTGTCCTGGAATATTCCTGAAGTGGATGGCATGGCCTTGGATGACCTTGGATGACCTGCCCAACAATCTTCCTTTGCATCAGAGCAGCCCAGGGTCGAATACCAAGCACCCCCTGCTCAAGAAGCACTGGATGAGCAGAGCGCCATGCTATGACCATGGCCACGCGCGGTTCGAGCACTCGACCATTTGCTGCTGAGGTTCTCGCTCTTCCCGAACATCACTTCGACCATCCTGCACGTGCAAGAACAGATGTGGATCCAGAATGATGCTTTTCTCTGCTTGTTGTTCGTCCACAGGAGTCTCTTTATCTTGGGGGGGAAGTGAGGTCGGAAGAACGGCAGGGTTTCTGTTGTATGTTCACGTGCGTTTGATGAAGATATGACGGATGAAGCGCATGGCCTTCGGATGCACGGTATATCTTTAGAAACACATGTCGTTCGACACACTCTTCTTCCTGCCAGTACAAGCTCTATACCGACAAGTCTGACACCTCTCTCCAACAAACATCAAGTGGACAATGTGACAATGGGTGCTTCGAGGACCACTTTACTATCCACTTCCATGCTCGTTGGAGGGAGGCTATCCTGTCCCGCTGACTTGAACTGAGGACCTGTGGGGCGTCAAGCAGTGCATTTGCGCGAACCCCTCGGGCAACCACTGTACCAATCCACCCTGCAAAGCCTTTGTGACTTGCTTGAAGAGGAAGTTGGCTGTGCAGTCTTGGAATTCAAAGCTGATGAAGGTCAACGTGGATACCCTGCTATTGTTATGAATTACACAAGTGAAATATGACTCGGGAACCCGTAGATTTTTTGCTTCTTGCTATTACTAGAAAGCAATTACCCGGGTCATTATGCCATCGCCCGGTTTTCACGGCCAGAATCCTAGTCCCGTCCTGGGTGGGACTAAGAAAGACATCGCCTTGTAGGATGTTGTGGGGACTGCTATGCCACCTTGCTCCAATTCGTTTTTCGTGCGCTGCGCTGCGGCAGCGTAGGTCCAGCACTGGGACACCTTTGCCTCTGCACAGTACTTGGGCCGTGAACGCATAGGCGCTGCGGCTCGGATCCACCGCGGGGTGCGGGGTCGGAGGCTGGGTCAGATGCAACGGCGACGTGGTGCGCATTTCAGGGCTCGTCATGGATCCTGAGCAGAAGCAAGTCTTTGATTCAAGGAAGAGGATATTTGAGACGCGTCAACTGCAATGGAATCGAAGATATTTGTTTTGGCACGACTTTCTGCAAGTGATTTTTGATCTGGAGGCATTTGCAAGCTGTTTGCCCCAACCAGCTGCAGGTGGTAGATGTAGAAACCCAGAAGTCATCCGATGCTTTTATGTGCAAGTTTTGGCGGAAGTTCCCAAAGCTGGTCGTGCAGCTGAGGTTCACTGGGGTTCCTCAAGAGAGAATTAACAAACAGCACAAGGAGTCTGACGACTTGGAACCACAATTGACACTGCTCCTCGATCCGCTCAAACACAAAAGCTCTTCCTTCTCCACGATCGACTCCACCGCGATCGCTTGGAACTCTTCGCTGGACCGCTTTCAACTGCCAAGCATAGATGTCCTTTGGTTGATTAATAGAGGGGATACCCCCAGGCCCCCAACCAACAGGTACGGTATCACATCGACGATTCGTGCTTCTACGAAGATCATTGACAGCGCCAAAAAGCTGTTCGAGCCGAGGAATGGATCCAAGATCATGGTGTTGGTGAGGCGTCCAAACTCATGGAGCGCCTGACTCGGCAGGGAGCGATGGTGCAGAAGAAATCGGGGCATGGTGCACGGCCTCTTCCGGCCTACCCATGCAGGTCCCGGCGGGTGTTTAGATGAGAAACAAGACAAGCATACCAAAACTCTAATCTGGTGGCAGACTTTTGGGAGAGCTCCAAGGTCTTGTGTTTTTTGGTGGGAAGAGTGTCATTTATGAAATGCGAACACCTTGAAGCCCGAAACAGCCATGGCTGATCCCCTTGAATTCCATATAATTCAATCTAGGCTAGAGTGCTCTACCTGCTTTTGAGATGGCCAAGACATAAAGACTAGTTAAACTTATACAATCATCGCGGCAGAGCTTTTGAGCCTTCGGATTTGTCAGGTCTGCTTCTCGGTCGTCCAACGGTGTTTCTCGATCAACTCTCGTGGACGATGAACGCCTGTCCTTTTTCGGGCCCGTACCCGGTCCTGCCCCCTGTGGGGTCAGGTTTGGCACCCCAATAAGTGTTCTGCGGGGCCCCGGGATCAGTTCACCTCCACTCTATTCTCTTCAACTAGGGTCCCCCGGTTCTGGTGCCCAGTTGACCAAGACCGGGCGACTCCGGCGAAGGGTGCTCAATCGGCTTCATCAGGCTGGACCACTTTATCTTGTGGGCTCATCATGTGTGGACAGACCCCGTCTCCAAGCGCTTGGTTCGTGCGTGGAAGCCCTTCAATGGCTTGCAACTCTATGACCCGGAGGCCGTGGAGCATTGGGGGCGACATCGTCGTGCGGAACCCGTGTTTGGAGGGATTAGTTGGGTTCCGCTCCTAAGAATTGAGTGACAGAAGCTCTCTGAAGGGAATTTGGTGGAACTGTAATGTTCCTGCAGTTCAAGAAGAACCGCTGGAACTGGGTTTGTATGGCTTTTGTACAAAGCTGAACTGGTTCACAGCGGTGATCGACGGGTGATTTAAGTCGATGATCATTTTTTTTGCAAAAATTCCAGCACATTGAGTTACACTGTTACACTCTGACCCACTAAGTCACTAACATGGAAGTGGAAACTAGGCAGCGGGAAGACCATCTTACTCTATGAACAGCGTTTGTTTTTCCACGTCCATGAGTGTACTTAACAAATTCCCGATCGCGATCTTGGACCCAATGAATATGGCTGTGGGTCAAAACCCAGCCCCCCAATCCCTGGTAGGTCGACCTCTCTGATAGTCCATTCTGTTCTTCCCGACGCGTCGATGCGGTCACGACAGGTGTACATGGCATTCTGACTAGTACCCTAACACATGTGAAGATTCCACATGAAAAGCAAACGAACTGCCAAAAGTGAAAGCCCAAGTGGCCAAACGTGCAGTCGATATACACCAGCCAGGATACGTGCAAATCGAACTTTTCCGGTTTACTGAAGAAGACCTCTGCACCATTTTCGGTGGTCAACCAAGGTATCCGGGTTTTGCCGCACTAAGTTCTCCCGCTTGTGTGCGGATTCTGGAAGTCTACAAAGTGTGTGATGATACCTGGCGCCACACCATGTGGCGTCAGATCATCGAATCCGATCTTAGCTTCAAGCTGTTCGTGGAACCTCCCCCCTCTGGTTGCGGCTGCCAGGCCTGGCAAGACCACGTCGCAGATCCTTCGGTCTTCGACGCGTCGCGTGGCGACCGCGCGTGGCGCGACCGGCGGTGCGATCCCGCGCGGGTGCCGGGTCGGAGCGGTGGCGGGGTTGTTTCCCCAGGAGAAACCGAAGGGTCTCATGGTTTTTGTTCTTTTCAGATGATGGATTCCCAAGGTCTTTAAACCATACCTGCAAGTTTGGTTGGTCTTTGAGGGACACAACAGTGACACACGAAGGAAGCATGTTGCACCTTTATTGGACCCGGAAGTGGTGGGGGCCTACTGCCTCATGGAAGTGTCAAGGGTCCAGAGTCCTTCCGTGAAAAAGGCGGACTGGGTGACTGGGTGAAGTCCCAATGTCTTTTACAAGCTTTTGGATTCTCCTGCGCTGGTGCTGTGGTCACTACCAGATGGGGGTTCCATCGGGCTTTCTCACACCGCGAACATTTGATGATGACCGTGTCAGTGGTTTTTGGGGATGTTGACCTTGGCACATCACCATCACCGTCTTCCTTGGCACATCGCCGACTTCCGTGATCTCCCAACTCGTTTAAGGCCTCCAGACCTTTGTAAGAAGGGACAGAGATCAGTGCGCATCAACTGCGATGACGACGGACACTCGGTTGGGCCAGGGATGGGAGGCTCCCAGAGAAGTGAGTCTGGCTATGCCCATGGCCGTGATCTTCCAAGTGTTATAAAAACTCAGCTGCCAGGGCTCCCAAGGTACAGAAGAGGTGTTTGTAGCAAGAACAAAGAATCAATGGAGAAATGGTTGATTTTCCAAAGACACGGCTCCACCGCTTCTTTCCACGCCTCTGCTTTCACGGCTTCGAGGGCTTCGGCTTCGGTAGTCTGTCACCTTCCATCGAGTGATGCAACGAAAAGCCTTTTGGGAGACCGATGGGTTGATGCAGGATGCTGCAGGATGCTGCTGGGGGCACGTTGTGACGGACTCTGTGGCATCAACACGGCCACGCCGCAGTAAAAGGCACAGTAAAAGTGTGGGACTCTACAGTGGCTTCGGAGTAGATGGCACAATCCCCAAAAGGTGATTCATATGGGCCTCATCTTGGGTCTGTGCCATCTACTCTGAAACCACTGTAATTTCAATTTAGCACTTTATCGAAGAGCACATTGACCATCCAGTTCTCCTCTCGTATCTACTGTATAGTTCAGACAACGAAGAAGCTAAACATGACCCCCAGATCTAGAGGACTTCCACGCTGCTTTTCTTCCACTGACTTCCACACCAAATGATCTTAACATCAGATGGACTGACTTCCACTGACTTCCACGCCGGCAGAGGGTCTTTCTCCCTGGATGTTCTGAACGCCAAGACACATTGTTTCACAGCCTTTCAATGAGATTGGACGAGATGTTTTAACGCATCGCAGGGTCGAGGTGCGCTGGAGACCCATGGAAATGGGAAGGCATCGCACCCACTTGGGGGTGTTGAACCCGGAAGTGTTCCCATCTCGACCCATGGATCCTTTGAATTGGGACCGTCCGGTCGTGGAAAAATGCGCGCCCAGGCAATTATCACCCCAAGAAGTCAGCCAACACTCACATTTTAGACGCCCTGATAAAGAGGCGCTCGGCCAGAGACAGTCGACATCATCATCTCGTTTTTTGGTTTCTAATGGCTAGGGCAAAAGACACATGAACCCGTCAGTTTTGGACTGCTTCTATCTTTTTCACAGTGGGGTTGGATAGTACCTGTTTTGTTTTTCAGCAAGCCTCTCATGAATAATGAAAACCAAGGATCATGAAGAACCCCATGATGGTGGATGAACGTTTGTAGGTCAATGACTCAATGACCATTCCGTTCTTGTCTATGTTGTCTGCACAATGTGGTGTCACTGCCTGCCTTTTAGTCTAATCACTTCACTTCGGGTGATCCCAACCCTGAGAGGTGACTTGAGGAAGGCAGAGCACATGTATTGACAGACGATCCTGACAAACGTTGCCTGGCATGTGCATTGACACACTGTTCTGACACTTATTCTGGCATCAAGTCTGGTATGTCGTGTTCTCACACATCATCTATTATAAATAAAGGCTGGGACATGTTCTGGAATATGTTCTGACGTCCTTGTTGGCATGTGTTCTGACTTTTGTCCTGCCATCAAGTTCGACACGTGTTCTGCCCTATCTTCTGGCATGTGCTTCTGACATGTGCTCTCACCAAACTGGCATGTGCTGTTGCAACATGGTCCGACGTTGGTTCTGACATGTGTTGGGCATGTGTTTTGCCATGGCACCTATTTCGACATTCCTTCTGGCATTCTATCTGGTGTCCTACCTGGCATGTATTCTGACATCTTTCCTGGCAGATTAGCTGGCATCTATTCTGACATTGTTCCTGACCTTCTGTATGGAATCTATTCCAACTTTCTTTCAGGCATTCTACTTGGAATCTATTTTGACACTCTTGCTGGCATTCTACCTGGTATCTATTCCAACATGATTTCATTCTATCTGGCATCTACTCTGACATTCTATTCACTATTCTTTCTGCTATATCACCTGACAGGTGGGGGAAAGACTTCTTGTTCGAACTCCAGCAATCACCTCTGAAAAGATTGATCGCGCAAAAATAGGTAATGCATGACCGCTAGCGTTGCTTCCTCTTTTGGTGCAATGTGCGCAACGATCAGAGGGTTTTGGATTTTTTACAGGCATTCTTAGGAGTTTGCTTTCTTGCAAGGTTGAAGCAGGTTTTTGGCGTTGGTCATGGAGTCGAGTTTGCAACAACCAATCAGGCAAGACTTTGGATGCCAGTTTACTCACGAGTGAGCCAAAAAAGAGGCAGACTTGAAGGGACTATCAGACTGATATCGCATTCAAAACATGTTCCGAGGAAAAACATTGCAATATTCAGAGAATCTTCCAATAAAAGAACCCGGCGCCAGGTCCATGCTTTTCTTTTTCTTTTGGTGGACACAAGTGCTTGATTGAACCCCAGTTCAACGGTGATGGACGACTTGCCCATCGGTACTTGAGCTTTCACATCTTCCATGGGTCTTCATATCCGTGTGGTGATGTTTGTGAACCAATATCCTCAGTGAATATTTGGTATGGATGACGATATGCCGTTTTGTCTTCTATAATGGGATGCTTGCATCATGCAACCTTCCCTCGACACGCTTTGCAACCAGCTTGCGCCCATATTTGTTGGCAAGACCGTCTACAGCCTATCCTCCACAAGTCTAGTGACTCTAGCGACCAGAAGGCACCACTGTTGTCGGAACAAGTCCTGCACAAATATTTAGCAATACGAAAACCAGGCAAATCCTCAGATCTGTTCTATTTTTCTTCCCAGCTGTGTGCTCGCCAGATCGGTCGCTCGTTTTTTCAGGGCCGCCTCCCATGGGCCTGAAGATATTCACGCCTTTGCCGCCCAACTTTGGGTGCCTTGGTTTTGAAGGACTCGCCGCGGCACGCGGTGTGGTGGGGAAATTCCAGTTGTGAAGTCTAATGAACCAATCTTTGGAAGGTGCATTGGATGAAACCCTGATCCCTCCACAGACGAATCATCACCCAAACATGGTTTGATTATTTTTTGAAGGGGTCATTGGGACCAAACTTACAAAAACACGAGCAGATGGTGTAAAACCTAAACATGGATGAGCATGCTCACTGACCGGACGGAACTTTTGACCCATCAAGGCCCAAGTGCAAGAAGAGGAACATGGAGAGCATCCATGTTCGAGGGAAACTCACAAGCGCACGGGTAGCAGCCCTGCGCAGCAGTCAAAACATGCGCATGCTCGCACGTGCTGAGGCTAACATGGAGGTCCTGGTTTGAGGCACAGGGAGGGTCGCAGCTGTGGTAGTTATTGGTCGTTGCGGTTGTGGAAGTGTTAGTTGTACTCGTCTCGTCTCAGTCGTCACCGTCGTCCGAGTTTCTGGTTTCACCATGGTGATGGTGGGTGTGACTCGAAGGATGAGGTGACCAGACAAGCCACCATCCATTCGAGTCGAACGCGAAAAAAAGGGGTCTCAATGGAAAGCGGACCGTTTGAGGACCGGGATTGAGACGCCGCGATTCTTGAGCTATTCTCATCTATATATGAACTTGTAGCTACCCGGTAGATACCCGGTAGGCGAACGCCCTTGTGGGAGAGCTAGCTCTTGGACGTTGGATCCACGCTAGCTCTTGACGTATTTGTGATGCACGCACAACTCCCAGTTGTCAGCTGGTGCTGTTCAATTCGCTGTTGCCAGGACTTGGGAGTTCTGAGTGAGAGGTTTGCTGTTCAGCAGCGATGGCTGCTTGGGTCTCTGCTGCTGTTTTCACATCTCACTGAATTGTTACAAACACCTGCAGATCATTGCAGATCTAAGGCTTGCTAGTGGACCCTGGTCACTACGACATGGGTAGACGGCTCGTTTCGTCACAGCCACTGGATGCTAGTCGTAGCTCCGAGGTCGAGCTTTTCGCTTCCGCATGTTGACCACCCGGAGGAGTGGTTCTTTTGTACACCACTGGCCATGCCCCGATGCCCGAGGTGATCGGTGGGGTTCTGTACATCTGGGTTCGGGCACACATGGAAAGACGCACGAACATGGCTGGCATAGTGTACTTGAGATGAGTTGAGACTTATGGCACGCCTATCGCTGTAGGGATGGGTAGAACTGTGTAAAACCATCGAGAAGCACTCAAGCTAGAGCCATTTTCTGCTGTTTTGCAGTTCTTGGGCAGCGACAGAGCGAGGAACGATGCAGATCAGCACATGCACAGCTTTGTACATAACAAGACCCTGCCTGGTCCGGCGACTGTGCCGGGCTCTGGCAGACATTTCTGCACTTTTGCAGGGTCGGCTGAAGCCCAAACTCTGGCTTGGCTCCTGTCAGCTTGGACACACCAACTGCAGGTGTTCCTTCATCGAGCGAACATGGCTCGTTCCATGCTTCTAGGGAGCCTAGTAGGTCGAACAAGGATGTGAATAGCTTGACCAAAGACCGTGTGATCACTTGAAGGGACACCATTTTTCTTCGATTCTGAACATGTTTTTCTCTCAGATTGTGAGTTGGTTGCGAACCTGTGAACGCTTGATGGAGGACGGTGCACATCACCCTTTCTTTGAGCAATGTGGGGACCAGTGCGTGGGCCTGAAGAGTACTTGGTGCCCTGAACAGTGGCCACACTCGATGACCCCACCCTGGAGACCGTCGGAGTTCTGGGGGAAGAGACCTGATCCCATCTGATCCCAGCACTTGTAGACTTGTGAGGGCCTGATGACGGACAGGGTGAGCCATTGAGTGGGAGAAGGATGTGCCGAGCTCAAAAATGCAACGTTTCGCCCTTTTCGCCCGCGTTTGGCGAGTTTTCTATGTCAAGAAAAAGGGATCCTGCAAGATTGTGTCAAAGTCGATGGTTTTTGCGGGGCCTCCAAGATCGACTTTGCAATAGACCTGAGACATCCTCCAAACCACTGGTGTTCGGCACCTTTTTTTCCCGCCTGGAAAAAGGAGCTGTTTTGGACCTTCATCTCTAAGATGTGGCTATCAGTGGGTGTGAACATGTTTTCCATGAAGAAACCGGGCGAAAAAGGAGCAAGCATCGAACACCACACGTACCCGTACCGTGCCAACATCTCACTTGGACCAGGCGGAACCCGCGAGCGCGTTCTACAGCGGAACCCGCGTTCCGTCGACCAGGTGCGCGATGGCCAGTGCAGCTGCTTCGACTGAAGCCGGTAGCCGGTGGTCTTTGTGGTCTGCCTTTGCGGTGAAGTTTTGCTTGAGATCATAAAACTGTTTACGCTGTAGGTGGCACAAGCCGCACATGACCAACTCTTAGCTTGAGGTCTAAATTTGTAATATAATATATCATAATATATCTGACTATAGATTACTATAGATCATTCTTGATTCGAATCAGCTCTATTTTTTGTGCTGTCTCACTCCGACACCGTAAGTTGAAGGAAATGGAACTTCCACTTTCCCTGGATAAGTCCAAGCCTGCATTGTGGGCACAAGCTTGCACAAGGGTCTTTCAAAAATTAACGAAGAAGTGGACTCGATCCAGATGATCTAAGCAATCCCAGCATCAAATACTGGAGCTGGAGGGAGCGTTCAGAGCCGTTCGGAGCCGTTCCGATCAGGTTTTTGGGTGTCTGCCGTGAAAAGCGATCCGCTTCGTTCTTCAAAGCGGGCTTCCGCCATGGAAGGCGAAACGAACACCAATTTGGCACAGTGCGACATCCCGCTGCACCGAAAAGCGCGTTTCGTGTTTCGAACTCCGCCGGTGTCGGAGAAGGACGGTGAGAAGACTGCTACCATTGTTTCAGTTGATTTTACCAATCAAAACACAAGTGAAGGGATCCAAAGCCATTCAACTGACTGGTGCGACTCGTAGGGAATAAGGGTGGCGTTTCGCCCCCAATAGAGATTCTATTGGATCCAGCCACCCTCAATTCCCTGCTTTCGTCGCACCAGTCAGTCAAACAATCATTCAGACTGCCAACAATCTCACCACTCAAACCCGAACTGATGGTGAACTGATGGTGAACCCGAGCTGAACCATTCAATCCCTTGGACCAGATTTGGGAGAAACACACGGAGCGGAGCGGAGACGAAGTGACCATTTCACCGCCTTCGACTCGACCGGGACGCGGTGGGCACCGTGCGGAGTCCGGGTTCGAGTCCGGCTGGCGATCTGAAGAAGAAAGCGACATGGATTGGATGAAGCTTCTCTGAACTTGCAGATGAACAAGTTCAGGTCGTGGAACTTCTGTGTCTCCTGAAGAGGACTAAGAGTTACTGTGAGTTCTGGGCATTTGGTGTTTTTCGCAACCACAGAAGCTGAGAAAGGAGGTTCTGTGGTGTGTCTCCTCAAGCCGGAAAATAACCTTCAAAAAGCCCTCAACATGTTCAGAACTCCTCATGGACCGGCGAAGCGAAGGCGATGGCCCGCCGATGCAGGTGACGGTGGCCTACGTGGAATCGCGGCTCTTCATGGCGGAGGTGGGGTTAAAAACACTAAATGGCACCTTGCACCTTACTTTCCCGGCGACGTCCAGCATCGTTGGAGCGACTTCACATGACTGGCTGAGGCTCCAGGTGGTTTGGTCTGCAGGTGGTTTGACCAAACCAGTGTTTCACCAAACCAGTGGGCGCCGGGATCGACCGTCTCGGGGCGCCGGGGCCACAGAACTGCAGTGGCACCGAGGCCAAGGGACCCAGAAAAAAGATAACCGGAAAAAACCACTTGATCCAGGTGTCACAGAATGTAGATCATTGATCGACGGTTGATGAATAAAGCATCATCTCCCCCCAACCTTCGATTGGTTTTACATAATCCGTTCTTTTTTGGGGGGGGAGGGGAGGGGGGTTGACATGAACCGGGTGTCTGGGCCCGATCGTGATCGTTTCGCCTCACTAGGCCTCTGCGGACCCCAGCGCGTGCAACGACTGGGATGATCCCCTGGAGGACGAGGCGTCTGCCCACCCGGTGGACCGACCCGCGGGTCTCCGGAGACCCCGGTGACCGCGGTGACCGCGGCTGCGGTTCCGAGACACCGGGGGACTTCGTCTCACAGAGACACGGAACCAGATGGAAGAGACGAGGTTCGTTGTGAGGTTTTGACGTGGTTGATTCAGCTGTGATCTCTGCAGCGACAGTATGTTGGCACGATCTGACATGGTGAAGTTGCGCCTCTATTCTGAATATCCATGCACTCCATGGTCAATGTTGACGAACATACCATACATAGTCTAGGATAGATCTATTTGTCAGCTGGAATAATCATGATCATGGTTACGTGGATGGCATGGCCTCGATTTCGGATGACCAGGAATCATCCTCCTGCCAAACAGGTGGTGGTTTTCCACTTCCATGTCAATGACTTGGAGTATATAGGACATATACCTGTGAATAACATTGAATAACCAGGTCATAGAAAATACGACCAGGTCATTGCACTGTCATCAATGACCATTTTCCACTTCCATTCTTCACCACGGGGCACTGGATCCATTTGAGCCGTATGCTCGGTCCGACGGTCAGACTTGCTTGAAGTCGCCCATGTCCTTTTTTGCATCACCAAGTGGTGCGACATCGCTTGGTTATATATATAGGTCCTAGTAGTCATGATTCGAAACAAACTAAGCTGTCTCATAATATCCAATCCCCAATCCTTGAATAGTTGCATGGCAGTTAAGCTTTTGCTGGCAAACTGGCAAACTCTTCTGCGGCTTTCACCCACAGCGTCTGCTTGGAAGAATCAGATCAGTTCGCAGGTGCTTCGAGCCGAACAGCTGGAGGTGCTTTCAAACCTCGGAAGGTGCAGATATCAGGACCGCCCCGGCAAGCCGCTTCGACACGGCCGTAGGTCCGCTGTTTCAGGGCCACCGATGGCCGGCCGTGGCGAAGCAAAGAAGAGGTGCCCACACCCGGTGTTGGTAGGATAGAACAAGTCCTCGACCACCTGCAGGTTCGTGGGTCTTTGTGTTGAGCCATAGCAAGATATAGCGAGTTCACTTGTTACATTTGGTCAAACCGCTGCGATCAGCTATGGAAAGCAGCACTTCTTTTCAGAACGACGGAAAGATGTAGAAACAACTGTGAACGCACTCATTGACAGTGAAGCCTTCACAGTCGAGTGGATACCTGGAGACCTGAGACATGAGACATGGTTAAACTTGGATGTTGTTAGCTGGATGGGATTCGCGCATGCATCAACCTTGCACTATGAAGTAAAGACATAGCTCTTGAGCCCCTCGCCAGCTAAGGAGGTAGTCGAGGTCCAGACTTTTGAGTTGGACTTCTTCCAATGCCTTCGATCCAACGTCTCGGATGTCGATAGCCAAGGATACCTAGCAGACCTTGCACAGGTGTGGAAAGAGGCCCGACCCACAGCACATGAATCGGTGCCGCCATAGGCTTGACAGATTGGTGTCGATCTGACACCACTTCCCATTTTCTTGCGTGTGAAGAGGAAGAAACTCGCATTGGTGTGCAATAAAAATAGGTAGACCTCCCAGGCAACGACCCTCCTGGAAGGTTCAGGAAATCGACGAGTCTACCCATTGGGCCTCGGGGTCTCCCTGAAACTCTACACACCTCGTCCACCCGGAAAAACCAGCTTCTTCCGACCCTCGCGACAGCGCGACAGCGGACGAAAACGCGACGTCCCACCGCCCCGCCAGGACACCGCGCAGCACATCATGAAGCATTTCGAAGAGATCTCCAGGTATCCGATCGGATCTGCAGGGGGTTGCGTCCCGCTCCGCTGCGACTCCGGTGGATCGGGGGGTCGGCAGTCGGTGTTGGGTCAGGGATTGGGTCGCCTTGACGAGGAAAAGCGGGGCAGAACGAGGAAGCGCGGGGCAGAAGAAGCGCTGACAAAAGTGCCAAGGAAGAAGAAGAAGAGGGAGAAGAGGATTGACATGTCAGGATCATCCAGAGTTTTTTTCCTACGCTCTACAGGGCGACCATGGACCGCAGCCCAACCTTCAGTTTAGTGGGTGGTGAATGAGGAGGATCGAGGATTGACACTTGTTCCTACATGCCACGACACCATGTTCCTACGAAGCAGGGCTGCAGCAGGGCTGCCAGACAGTTGGACCAGAACATCGGGTCCG